CAAACAAGCGGATTGAAACTCCTCCTGCGCGCACACACACACACTTTACAAATGCGGGCTGTTTACATAGGCCAGCGTGTGTTCTTTTACAATCGTATTTTGACTTCACGTGGTGACTCAGTGGCCAGACTGTAGAGCTGAGGCAGCGTTTATTGGCTGTCGAGGCAGTGAAAATTGGACTCTGTTCCTTGGACTGGCTTTACAGTGACACAATGCCATTCTTTCATAACTCACAGCCTTATTCATCATTGTCTCGATCTGAGTGCTGGATTTCTCCATTGGTCTTACTTACAGCTCATGTTCTAAACATCCACGGGTGTATTTATTCACTATATACTGTGGGATGCTTTGCATGGGGCAGTGGAGGTAATTGACATTGGAGTGGTTATTGCACTGCACTATGAACCCATCAACCTAATTATAATTCCTGCCACTCACGGCTAACATCAGTGGCAAGTGACATATCTGAACTGGTTGTTACTCACCCCCCACCCGCATTCTTCAATCTATAATATAGGTTTTTTTTGGGTTAGATTGCGTAAATATGAATGTGTCGTTAGACCCACCACCAACCGACAAAGCCAATTAGTAAGGGTTGTCACGTAAACAGAACATGCCAATTCGATACGAGCACAGCAAACAGGTGTGTTGGAGAGAAAATCCACAACCTTTACAATGTGAGTTCGACGTTTCGCCAGTAATTACAACTAGCTTCATCAAGCGACAGGCAGATTTGTGGATAAATCCTCCTGTTTCGTTTCCTTAACCCACCCTGGTCGGTGTTTTGAAGTATGATCAAACAACCCCCATAATGGACACACCTTTGGATAGCCTTCATCCAGCAGTTATGTACTGCAGTATATAATGTTGAATGGAACTAGGACCCATGTCTAGAAGAGGTCATTGACTATAGCATCTGGCAGTTCACCAACATGGATTCAAGCAAGCCTGACTCTGCTGACAATTGTACATCAAAAACCGCTCCAGAGTTAACTTGTACTGAATCAGCTGAAATTATTCAGTCCCAGAAGGCCGTGCGGCCGATGAGTCATTGTGGGGAAAAAAATGCTTTATGTGTGTGGACAGACATATTGTATGCGGGAGACATATTGTTTGCTTATCTATTTTGTTATTTATCCAGCAGTGAATTGACGTAGAGCGTTAAAGTAGTTCTTTACTTTTGAACAAGAAGACCGTGGCTGTATTGGCAGGTCTTCTTGCTTCTGTTGGAGTTTTTTTTTATTCTTCAACTGCCTGATGATGCTGGCTGTAACCACCAGGGTAACGTCCGTACCCAATTGTTAAATGTTACGTGGATCGCTCTGCAATATCATCCCAGTGGTGCTGCTGAAGCAATAATACATTTGCACGTTTGTTCATCATGTGACAACCTTATTAATTTACTGTGTCGGGTTGGGGAGGGTCTACGACACACACGTTACTTATGCGGCGATCTGACCAAAGCATCTAATCGAATCAAAATAGTGGTTATGAAAGCCTCCGTGTTAAATTCACGAATCGATTCTTTATAATAAAATAATAAAAATAAAACATAATAAAATAATTCTCACGACGTTTCGGCCACAACGCAAGCAGCCGTCCTCAGGTATTTTATTATGTTTTATTTGTATTATTTTATTATTTCCCTTTTACGATTGTTTATAGTCCATACAAAATTATGTACAAGCGTTATGTAACTTGGCAATGTTGAATGCATATTGATCGAGCGAATTAAACTGAACAAACCAGACCGAAAAAGCCTAAGAAGCACTATAAATGAATTTGTAAAAAAATTAGACAAAAAAAAAATTCTCGAATCACACCGCAACCCTGCCACTCGCACTAATTCGTCGATTCGTGACAAGCCCAACTATCGGCGTCAGTTTCGCAATCCCAGTCGGTCATGGCCGTGACCACTCCCAATGCCTCCAATCAGTCAAGCGGTGCCATGCGTTGAAGTTAAAAAACAACAATTCCTGAATACATTTGACGAGCGAACGCAAATACGTGCATCGGTGAACTTCCAAGAAGACATTCAAGGTTGTGTTTTTGTTTACTTAGACTAGCGAGGCTACAATGTGGCCTCCGCAGCTATAGATAGGCTCGCTCTCACGGCACACAGCTTATCAAAGTGTCGGCGCCTGTGAAGACGCCCGTGGTGGCGGTGTGCTCGCTATTGTGCCTCCAAGTGCGGGTGTCACGCACGCAGGAGCACCTGAGGCTCGTCGCATCGATGCACGATGCCGAACGTGAATAGCCTAGGGCTGCGTGTCACGTTTGGGGGGGGGGGAGGATGGGGCCATGCGTGCGTCCTGGACTCTTCTTAGCCCGTGCGAGTTTCCACAAGTTGCTTAGGCAGAAGCGCGCTGACAACAACAACAATAACAACAACAGTTGTCATTCGCCGCCGCTCTGCGATGCGTCAGGCCTTTGTGCTGTGCTCGCCGCACTTTGAGAAGAATGCGTGGAAGCGACAGAGCGATGAGTGGCAAGAACACACGCCGAAGGTGTCGCGTGTGAACTGGTTGCGGTGACTGGCGGACGCGTCACCTGCAACTCCTTCATTTGGTTAAGGAACGAGACATTTGCTAACCGCCCTTGTTTTAGCCACCTGATTTAGTGCGTAATCTGCCCTGCTCGTTGATGTGAGCTTCGTGGAGGGGGTGGGGATAGGGCGACGTGGATGCAGGAGCATCTGTCACGAAGCAGCCCCCCTGCACATCTCTATAAAAGACACAGTTGGTGCCGGTCTTTTGAAAGCCCTCTCAGCTTTACTCACACACACACAAAACAAAGGGATGTGCATTGCAGTGTGCCACGCCGGGCCACACGCTGCAGCTGGTTTATCTTCATGCAGCAGTGATGATAGACAATCCAATTATCTCGAAGATGTTTATGATGTTAAGAACATACCAGACGGACCAGACACAGAAGGTGTGGCAGAGGTGCGTTCCCTCAAAAAGGCATCTATCTATATTCTACGACAAACTGTCAACTCAGTTTGGAATGGGCATAATTTGTGTATATATATAATGTTTTCATTAGTGATTGATGTGATGTGCCATATGTTTTTCGCATGCTTAAAAATGTGCTTTCTCGTCATTTAAATCCTCTCGGTCTTGGTTTCGTGCGCGAGCCTTGCGTTGCCCTGCACTGCTGCCACTCGCTTGACCCCCCCCCCCCCCCGGGATCTCTCTCTCTCTTGAAAACGAAACTCGAAGGGTCGATGCGTTTTTACCTGGCCATGGTGATAAGGTTTGGCTTAAGTGTTCCCGGCTCGACTGTTATGAAAGGTGCGTCGCACGCTGGGAGTGACGCTGAGTGGAAATCGCCCGTGCTAGTTTTGAGATGAGGTCAGTAGATTGCTTGTGTCATGTGCTCACCCCTTTGGACGATGATAGTGATTTTTTTAATTAATAACCATTCTCGAACGAAGCATCACGAGTCGCGAGCAAAGTGGAAAATGTCAAGGGAACTGCAAAACAAAGTGTCATCGTGTTTTCCCAAACTTTGTAAATTGGTTTTAATAATAACAATAATATGGATAATGTTTCACATTTAAACCATACATATTCTCAAAGGATCACTCTATTGCATCTTGCTAACGTTATATATCATACAAGATTATATATCATACGTAATTATTTAGTACACTTCTTGAGCAAAAACAAAGAATGGTGATTGGCATGTGAGCCTATGAAGGCCCCGTGTGTACACAGTGGGGTGAGCTTGGGTCCAAGTCAACACCTCGTCTTTTTCATGGTCATGGGATAAAAAAAAATCCTTAAGCTGCTGAGGTTCATAGCTCATGGGATTTCTCCAGGGTGAAAATAAAGTTTCTGATTCTGTGTAACCACAGACTGGAGATGACCAGGTTGCTTGGAGATCAGACCACTGAGCTGCCACTGCTGAGATCCTGGGCTTGACTGTGGCGTGGGCCACCGATAAATACTACTGGGTGCCCAAGTGTAGTGGCTTGGTGGTCTGTGCCCGGTCATCAACAAATGCAGGAGAAAAAAACATCCATCATTAAATATGTTCAAAAAATATATATTTTGGTACAATTCCAGCTCTGAGAATTAAAACAAATATTAACATTTTGGCTTCACTGACAAGCAATGAAAATAACTCTGTAGTAGGGCCCACTACTACGGATAACAGAGGTAATATGAAAGGCTTTCAGAAGGAATTCTGCATAACCCTCCTCTGCAGTTTGTTGTATGCATGCTGACCTTCTTTCACACCATCTATAACGCACAGGAGTGATGCCCTGCTCTGCCAGAGTTCCGAATGGAAGCTTCATCCCATGACATGACACCATAAGCACAATTCCAATATATGGAGAGATTAACGTACCCTCAACGTGCTGAACTTAAGAAATTGGAGGGAAAGAACCGATTAGTATGCACGGAGTGCAGGTGGCAGCGGCCTGCGTCCACTGAAGGTCTCACGCTGGGTCATTGATTATCTGTCCCTTCGCTGTACAACATCTCGGGACGGCGACCTTAGCAGGATGCATGGAGCTGGACTCGCTGGGCGTGCAAGATGCATCTCTGTGCGTATTCGTGAGTTTCCGCGCCGTGTGTGCGGCTGTGCATGGTTAAAACGCGAGCGACCCTGAAGGTCGAGTCAGTGCCCTGTGTTTGAGTGGCATACGAGAGCAATGCGAGCATTGCCTATCGCGAATTGTGACACTGCACGTATTAATTTGTAATCACCTTTTCCACCTCTGCCTGTCCCAACACCCCCCCTCCTCCTGTCCCATCATCTTAATTTCCCTCGATCTCCTCCGATTGCTCCACTTTTATAAATAACCATTCTCTAATGAATCTCTCTAATTAACACCTTAATCTCTCCCTTCCTTCTCTCTCTCTCTCCCCATCCTTGCTATGTGTCACACTCTCGATCGCCCCGCTTGTTTCTCTGCCAATTCCTTTCCATCAACCCCGCACTCCCACACACCTGCCCCTATTCTCCCAAACCTTTTACCCACCATGCAGTTGTTCCACGTGGGTCACATCACGGTGAAGTTTGCCAACTCTCCCCGACCGAGCGTCTGGCTGCTGGAGCGATCGGCAGACTTTGGACGCACGTACTCGCCCTGGCAGTATTTTGCTCGTAAGTCCGGGGATCCGGAGGGGGCGAGGTGTGCGTTGCGTTCGTGTGGCGTCGCGACGCACGCGGGGAAAGCAAGCGGCGATGTTTCGCCGTGATAACGCCACCTCTGATTTAGTTTTCCCCCCCGAAAGCAAGGTGTGTTTTTCAATTTAAAAAAGTAGGTACGTCTCACATAATAGAAAAACCTCGAGGATGTTTGTATGTTGAATTTCTTTCGCATCCTATATAGCCAACCATGCTAACCAGAGGTGCCGGGAAAAGACAACAAACCAAACATAAAAAGCAGTTTTAAAGAAATGTGCGCCGCACAAGTGACTAATATGGCGAGCGGTCACAGACAGGATCAGGGTTCTGTCGGACTGCTTTGTATTCCCATTCCATGGGCTCAAGCATATATTTGATGAGAATAAAGAAAAAATCTACAGCATCCACTCAATGCCATTGTATGATAATAATGTTCTTTATGTATCTAGGAAACGCTTATCGAGTCAAAATGCTTGTTTTTCAAGAGGGCCTTCGATTCGGATGCTTGACCAGCGCCTAACATGTACAAGTTCATGTGCAGTGACTTTGTCAATCCACTGATGAGAGCCTCCCCACACTGTGCAGGTCATGGGGGCTTTTTAAACCATACTTCACCAGGCTGGTCTGTGCGGGTTTTTTGACGGCGGAGAGCATAGAGATAGTGTATTCTGATGCCCACAATCATTAATATATATAATCTCAATAATAAGTGGTGGATTTATATGTCAATGGATCAAGCTCACCCGATGATGTTGGAAGTAATTAGCAGCGAAACGTCAAACTAAAATTTGTAAATGTTGTGGATTTACTCGCCAACACACCGGTGGGCTGAAGTAGTTACTAATTGCCACGTTTTGTTTAGGTGACAAACCTTACTAATTGTCGGGTGGTGGCGAGCTAACGACATATTTATACTTACGCGATCTAACCAAAAGAAATATTTATAATGAAATGGATTAACATAATTAATTTCTGTCCCTGAGGTAATGATTTGAATGCCGGTATTGCCGTGAGCATGGCTTATTTCAGCCGGGTGTGTCTGGATCAGCGACCCAGAAAATATTTTTCCACACCCGGCACACCACATCCAGTATCGCTCTGGCTATGACTGAGGCCACCGATCTCGCACCACCAGCGACCTGGAAAATATCCAGTGAAAAGTTATGCTGTAATGAAAATGCATCTGCCTGCAAGGGTGCGCGAGTTTGGCGCAGTGCGGACTGCCCCGTGACCATTGGTGGCGTTTTGTCTTTACCTCCGCCCACGCGGCCACGCAGCCACGGAGCAAGAGTGCCAGCGGAGGTTTGGGGTTGCGGCCGACGAGCGCGTGAGCCGAGACGATGACGTCACGTGCTCCACGCAGCACTCCGGCATTGTGCCGCTCGAGAACGGCGAGGTGAGGCGCCTGCGACCACTACGAATTCACTCTTCTTCCTAGCGTTGTTCCCGCTGTGGCGCAGGGTCCGCTTTTCGGCATTGTCTTCTCCATTTGGCTCGGTCCAGGGCATCTTTAGGGGATGCGTTGACCGTCTTTATGTCGTCCCTTATTCGATCCATCCATCGCTTCTTCGGACGTCCGCGTGGACGGCGGCCCTCTGGCTCAATACGCATGGCAGTCTTGGCCACTGATGACTCTTCACTTCGCATCACATGGCCGTACCACCGAAGCCTTGCCTCAAGCATCTTGTCCGCAATGGGGGCCACACCAAGACCACTACGAATTCACTATTTTTTAAAATTTGTAATCTTGACTTAAAGCTTTCATGACTGCAGGAATTCATATTCTTGGGTCTTTCGGTAAAATCACGTAGATAGATTATTTTCTTTGAACCTAGGAACACGTCCAAGGGGACATCCATGGCGGAGATAGAGCGATGAGATTAGTTCCCATGTGCACGAGCTAGATGTATGGATGGATTGCATCGCCCGACCATGAGGGATGGCTATGGCTCGGGGAGGCCTTCATCCTGCAGTGATCACGTCTGCTGCTGATGTTTTTATGATACCAGAAAGTGTCGTAAATTGACTCGGCTCCCGCATTCCAAAATACTCCACCCCAGTTGAATAGAGTCATTAGAATTTACGTCTCCTGCCACTAAAGCTGTTACCCTCCCCGCAAAGCTGCCCTTTGCTCGGTGAACCTTTGACACTTGACCCTGGCGGTCCCCCGTACGCAGGTGGTGGTGTCGCTGATGGGCGGGCGTCCGGGCGCTTCGGACAACTCCATCTCTCCCGCGCTGCGCAACTTCACGACGGCATCGCACGTGCGACTGCGCCTCCTGCAGACGGGCACGCTGCCGGGGCACCTGTTGGCCAAGGCACACCAGGACCCGACCGTCACGCGCAGAGTGAGCGACGCTCGCGCTGCCCGGAGACGCCCGGCCCGACACCCCCCACCCCACCCAGCCCAGCACGCTGCACTCTCCCCCCCCCCCCACCGCCAATTTGCCACACGGACAAAGCACCCCAGCAATGTCATCCTGTTTGTAATAACATCATCAACTGAAGCGCGAGCCTATTACAGTACGACGCAAAACTCTTTAGGTCCGACTACATGATTCGAGTGGTACATTCCCAACGCAGCTGAACGATTTATCAGGAGGGGGGAAGACATGAAAGGGGGAGTGGGCCTGTGGCCCCCATCAACTGGGGGCGTTATGACAGCACTAGAATGATATCATCCACTAACTCTCAAAAAACAAGGGCTTAAAGCCAGTTGTTTAACCCAGGGGGGGAAATGCATCACTGAGTTTTGAGACTCATTTTCAGGTGGGTCCTGTAACATCGGAACGTTTGGCCAATTCTATTCAATGAGTGTTTGGCTTCACGTTGAAGGAAAGCGGAGAACCCAGAGAAAAGCCACCGCACGCACACAAGGGGGTGACTCTCGACTCTGCGATCTCCTGAAAACTTCACAGCCCAACGCTTGGCACGACTCTGGTGGCCTTCCATCCGAGTGCCAGTCAGGCTCTAAGCTGCTTAGATTTTGATATCTGATGGGATTGAGGTGGCATTGAGGATGGATTGGTCGTAGGCAGCTTAAAAGAATGCATAGCCTAAGGCAAGTCAATACGTTGTGCTCGACAATGTAACATTTAAGATGCTGTAAAAAACAGATACTTTATACATCTAAATTGTATAATGATATAATTTAATCTGCTTAAGCGATGTCCAACTCTCACATGACGTTCTTACTTTAGTTCTCTTAGTGACTGGCCGCTTTAGGTATACAGGCCTTAAGGCATCTGCTAAACTAATGTGACGACAGATTTTTAAACAAAATAATCAAGTATTTCCTTAGAACGTGATGAAGGTGTGTGCCTTTTTACGCGTCAAACCAGCACCAGTGAGTTTAACAAAATAAAGGAATAATTTTTCTTACATACAGACAACATCGACATGTAGACTGTGTGCAGGCTGTGCTGACCGCCTCTGCTCTGCCTCCTCTGCAGTATTTCTACAGCATCAAGGAGATCAGCGTTGGTGGGCGGTGCATGTGTCACGGCCACGCGGACTCGTGCAGAGCGCGGAACCCAGCCAACCCCTACCGGTGAGTGGGCCCCGTCACCACCCTCCCAAACACCCACGCTTAACCCAGATGGTAACCTTGCCCTAACCCCTAACCTGGATGATTAACCTAACCCTCGGCCTAACCATAGCCCTGATCATAATCTAGCCCTAAGCATAATCCCTAACCCAAAACCAAACCTTAATCACTATCCTATCCATAACTATAACCTTACTCTTGCCCCTATTCCCAATCTTAATCAATCTCAGTTTAACACGTAGGCTTTCGCGACCAATATCATCCATAATAGAGGTTTTTGGGTTAGATCGCATAAATATATAAATGTGCCGTAAAAATCCGCCACCACTCATAAACATGATAACCCTTACTCGTTGGCTGTATCAGGTGGTGACGGGTTTTAATGATCTAACCCAAAAACCTCTATTATGGATTAATCAATCTCCATAAACCTCTCTGCCTCTTCCAGCTCATAAACACCTGCTAATCCTAATGATAACCTAAACACTTCTCTTAAACCTAAACCCTAATGCCTAACCATATTAATCAAACCTTCTAAACTTTACTCGAGGTATTCCAGTCTCAGGTGACATGTGCTGGTGAATTTACTGATGTCTGCAGGTGCAGGCAGAGTGTGATGTGTCGATTTGCCAGACTCGTTCTGCTGGGAAAAGCTGCGTGGGCTGAATGCTTCAGTCTCGTGGAGAAACTGCCGATCATGAAACCACTGCCATCACATCCCAGTTACTCTGTTAGTGCAGCTGCACTTGACACCTCAATGTGCAACCACAAGTCACGGCTATGGCCTTGCCAAACCCGGGCAGTCACTTGGCCTGTGGAGTTGTGATTGTTATGAATAATTATTGTTATTATTGCAACTTGTAACGCATTGAAATAATTGCTATCTCGTGAAGAGGGACAATGACTCAGAGGCTGCGCGGAATCAAAGTCGAGCGGGAAAGGCAGGCGCATGGTGAGCTTAGATAGCTCTGCGGACCTCTACACGCGAAGGTGTTATCAGTAAATTTTTGAGTGTTTGCACGTGGGAGGAAACGGAGAAATCTAGAATAAACCCACATGCACAGCATGAGGGGGCATCTGCTCGACGATCCACCAAACGCTCGCCGCCTCCCGCAAGCGCCGGGTTAACGGGCAGCGACGCGCGTGGCCACCGCCTCGGCTATTGACGCGTGGCACCCCCTTTGTCTGTGCGCGCCCCAGGCTGCAGTGCGAGTGCCGGCATGGCACCTGCGGAGACTCGTGCGAGCGCTGCTGCCCCGGGATGCAGCAGAGGCCCTGGAGCCCGAGTGGTCCCGACGGCGCCAACGCTTGCGAGCGTGAGTAGCGCCCCCAACGCCCCCCGCGCCCCCCAACCCTCCCCCTCGTGCCACCGAGCCGCGCCCCGTGACCTCGCCGGCACGCAGAGGAAGCGGCCGTTGGCTTGGGACGTGGTGCCAAGACGTTTTCCGCCATCACAGCATCGTCACTGTCACGATCGGTGTCATCATGTGTGTCACTGTTGTTATTCGCGTGATCTTTATCGTAATCGTTGTCATGACCGTTGTCATCAGTGACGTCGTTGACGCCGTTGTAATGATGACAGTCGTGATCATAATCGTCATCGGCCTTGTCACTAAGATTATCGTCATCATCATCACGATTATTGTCAAAGTCGTCAGTCTTCATCACGACAGATGATCGTTATCATCGCCATCACTATCCATCGTCGTCTTCATCATTGCCAAGATAATCATCATAAGCTCACCATCGCTATCACCGTCATCATCATTGCTATGCGAGCATCATCTTGAATGCCATCATGATGATGAAAATTACATTACGCAGAAAAAACACAATTATTTAATTACTTTCTTTATTATTCTTGTTTACCCAGAGAGCCCGTGCCATTGATATTTAAATCCCTTCGCAACGTCGTCACCTCGCGTAAACCGTATGCGTAACGTGAGGTTCCAATCGTAGCTTCCTTCGAAAACAAAACGTCACTTGAAACACTTAGCCACCTTCGATGTGGAGCTCTGCACCGCGCCGTGGCGCTTGGACACTCGGCGACGAATCCACGTTGAATTTCGATTGAAAGCTTTCGTGACTGCAGGGATTAATCTTCTTGGTTCTTTCGGTAAAGTCACGTAGAAGGGAAATAATAAAATACTAAAAATAAAACATAATAAAATAATTCTCACGACGTTTCGGCCACAACGCAAGCAGCCGTCCTCAATTATTATTTTATTATTTCCCATCTACGTGACTTTACTGAAAGAACCAAGAAGATGAATCCACGTTGGTATTGCATCACGCCGCACGCCGAGGGCACCGCGCTCTTGGCGTGGATGCCGCCACCTGTGGTCGTACAGCGCCTTGAGGTGCAGCGCCACTTCGACGCCCTGCGAGCGCACATGTGACCCGTACCTGTTGGCTGGCCGTCGGACAAAGACGGCGGTCACCGCATCGCACGCTTTCGGATGCGCTTCTGCGGCCGTCTGGAAAGTTCTCCCTTCCGATATTAGGAAGCCACTGGAGTTATGCACTTTTAAATCATCTACAATGAAAACTCATTTCTTTAAAACTCCTTTTTGCGTTTAGTTTGTTGTCCTTCCCCCCGTACCTCTGATTAGCACGGTTGGCTACGTACGGTGTGAAAGAAGCTCAACTTACGTACGTACCTGTATTGCTCATACTGCGCAGCCCTCTGCTCACGCTGCTTGTGGCCCATCGCGCTCCCCCCCCCCTCTCTCCGACAGCGTGCAACTGCCACGGGCACTCGGACGAGTGCGTGTACGACGCCGAGGTGGACGCGCTGCGCGCCAGCATGAACGCGAGCGGCGGCTACAGCGGGGGCGGCCTCTGCCTCAACTGCCAGGTGCGGGCCCTCGCCCCACCCCGGGGGGGGCGGGGGTGAGGGCGAGCCCCCCCCCTCCACAATGCGTGCCAACCGTACAGAATGAAGCGGCAGGCCGCCGATTTTTGTAGACGCTTTTGGCGCGTGGGCCGAATTTCAAAGGAAAATTGCATTAAATCTTTTTTGCCTCCACCCCCACCCCCCAAAATATTGCATGAAACAGTACGATGTGCTATGAAGAAGAGCCATTGTCTCCCGTTATTTTACATTTATTTATTTTAACGCAGTGTTTCTTACGAGCGTGTTGAGTTTTTCTGATTAACAAAGCAGTATAGTTAGATTTGATTATCAGTATGCAGTGGAGGGTTTTAAACGTTAGCAGCCTTCCACTTGAATGACTCGGGTTGTAAGATTGAGCTTCATCAGGGTTGTATTCCGAGCCATGGCCGGCATGAGTGCCGAGTGACATCAGCACCGGTTCCTGGGCCTCCCCTAGGTCAACTGCACCTTAAATGAGTGCCTGGCTGTAGCAGTCAAGCTGCTCGGTCACTGGACCTGAATGCTCCTGCATTGAAACCCTGACAGTGGTTCATCATGTCACCATCAGCATTGGAGAGGCAAAGGCGTGGTGTCGGCGACACGACCATCGGTGCTCGCTAACAGCACTTCCCCCACCACTCTGCTTAGGCTATATGGGGAGGATTGTTGTCTTTGTGCATATGAGTGGTGTGGGTGCGCGTGTGTGGATCAGCCGGTAACGTTGGGGTCTCGTCTCTGCTCACAGCACCACACTTACGGCATCAACTGCGAACGCTGTGAGCCGGGATACTACCGACCGACCGGCGTGTCTCGCGAGTCCCCAGACGCCTGCAGACGTGAGTCCCCTTTTAAACTAATGAACAATTATTTTTATTTTACCCGGTAAAGCCCCCATTGAGCTACACAGCACTTTCTCAGAAGCGACCTCGCAATCACGAATGAGAGCTCAACGAAGTGGAAAATCATCGAGCGGAAATTTATCGCGACCAAATTCTCTAAAACGCGCGATGTTGATTCTAAATGTGGAGGAAAAAAACGGAGGACCGGGAGAAAAATGCACGCGACCACTGGGAGGACACGCAAACTCCAAATATACAGCAGCAGGCGTCAGGGTCAGGATCAAAACCACAACATCCTGTATACCAGGCGAGGCAGTCAACATCGCGCCACCGTGGCCCAGCCTTGAGATAGGACTGGAAAGGCCACATTGTTACTCTGGGGTGGGTATATCCCATAGGGCAACCACTCTTGACTGCCCCACACAGCGGCGCTTATTTTACTCAACCACGATTTGAGCTCAGAACCTTCCGATAGGAAGCATTACCTTGAAGTCATGAGTAACTATACTACACAATCTTTGACACTAACTAACGGAGAATGCATTGAGTACAGTCTTGACTGCAATGTGACTTCGAACGGTTGCAATCTGGTACTACTGTGCAAAAACGTCTCCTTACAAAGCCGGGAAAGTTTCCCAATGAGAAAAACATTTTGTTCTTTCAAATAAAAATGACCTCTTATCATCATCAGGCGTTACCAAGAGCTCAGCTCTCACGATTTTGCTTGCTTTTTAATGCTCCTGTTTGCTGAAAACCCAAATCAATTGGCTAATTTGCCCACGTGACGACTTGAGTCGACTGGCCCTGTCGAGCGGTAAAGGGTTATAGTTAAAACAAATTGGCAGCATTCCTGCACGGTTGAACCTGAAATAAAGGAATACAAAAAAAATTCCACCATTATTATCATCCGCTAAATTGCAATTTTGTGTGCAAATCATACCCTTTGAGTGCGCACTGCCCAGTTACGCGAGCTCATCCCCGGGTTGTCGGCGTGCGCTTGCAGCGTGCGCGTGCAGCGGCGGAAATCTGGCAAGCACTTGCGAGGATGGCAGCGGTCACTGCCACTGCGCGCCCGGCTTCAGGGGAGACACGTGCAACCGCTGCGTCGAGGGACACGGCAGATACCCGGCCTGTCGCCGTGAGTTTGCGTGGGGGATGCAAGGAGGTTGTGGGGTTATTTGCAGGCCCTGGGAGTTCAAGGGGTCATGGGGGGCCACGAGGTAGGGGAGGGCAAGGGCTGTGTTGTTGTTTGTGGGTCAGTTTCCCAAATGTTCTGGAATATTCTCTCTTTAAAAATAATTTTCAGAACGTTTTGTCGCCTTGTCACGAGTGGTACCACATCATTTCAATTTCCTCTCCCCTTTGTTTTTCCCTTACAGCTGTGGAGACCTCGGTGGAGATGACCCCACAGAGGCGGCTGCCCAATGTCCCACAGAGAGGTAGGCACACCCTCACAGCAGCTGGCCGTGTCTCGTGCTGCTTGCCGTACACGGCAGCTGCGGGCGCTGGATGCAGCGACGGTTTAATGTTGGCGTGCCGGAGGATTAACCCAGAACCGAATGAAACCGGTTGGGAATAGCAACGCGTATGTGCATCACGGGTAACGCAGCCCAGTCCAACGTGCGTATGTCCTAACAAGTATTTCTCAGAAGTATGACAAGTTTTTCTCAGGACATACAATAATAATGTTACGATGTTATGATGATCTGAGCAGCACCATGTTTGAGCCCGGCTGAATGCCTACGTGTTGCGTTCTCCTTCCAGATCAGCCCTCGGTGGAGATGACTCCACAGAGGCGGCTACCAGGCATGCCACCCAGAGGTACGGCGCCGCCCGTGCTCGCAGTGGCTGAGTTGCACCATGCGTGTCACGGTGGCGAGATGTTAGCTCCCTCTCCTGGTATGCAGGAGGCCGTGGGTTCGACCCCGACCGTAACGATGCCTGCTGTATATTTGGAGTTTGTGTGCCTCTTTCTCATGATCATCACCATGGCTAGGAGATGTTAACTACCTCGCCTGGTATGCAGGAGGCCGTGGGTTCGATCCCGACCCTGACGATGCCTGCTGTATATTTGGAGTTTGCATGTTCTCCACATTTAGAAACATCCTTTTAGATTATTTGGCTTCTATACATTTTCACGTCATAAGCCACTTCGTTGAGCTATCATTTGTGGCCAGGTCGCTTCTGAAAAAGAGCTGCATTGCTCAGTGGGCTTTACCTGGTAAAATACAAATAGTTCATAGCTGTATTTTAATAGTGTCTGTGTGTGAGTGTGTGCGCAGGGGATCCAGTGACCCGAGTTAAATTCCCACTCACGGAAAATGTTTTTGCATTGGTGACAATATTGAGATGATCACTCTCCACACTTGAGAACCCACTTGAATCACAAGGTGGCTGAAACCTAATTTAAATCCATTATCTCAGGGGTGCAGGCTCAGTACTCTGACCCCTGAGTCACCATATATTTTAAACACTTTCTAAATTGTGTAATCATCCCTGAGTACAGGACATGTGACTAAATATAGTCAATAGTTAGTAATCAAGAGCCATTTGTTAATCCTCTGCTGGATGAAGGTCTCCGCACACCATGCAAGCCATGGGAGTTGTTCAGCCACACTTCACGATGCTGGGCAGTGTGGGCTTGTGAAGTGGGAGTTAGAACGAGTTTAGGTATCACTCGCCACCGATGGCAGCCACGAGCAGAAATGGAACCCAGGTCACCAGATTCACGGCGCTGTGTGGTAATCGTTCCACCACACTTGCAGCTTAATATTGTTGTTACGATTACGCTTTGTCTACCTGGGAAAGCCTCACTGAATCTCAAGACTTTTTCACGAGGGTCCTGCCACGTTTTTACTGTAGGCGGCAGGTACTGCTGCGGTGCGTAATCTCAATTGAGTGATGTTGTTCAGTGTTGGGATACATTTGAAAAATTGAGAGGATGAAGGGCCAAATAACAAACTTCCTCTTCAGATAAGGACACGTGTTTACACATTCCTACCTCGTATTTTTTAGAACAAACATATCGAGGATGCGTTGAATGATATAAAAAAAACGAGTGAGGTTTTTATGTAGTTTAAGACGTGGGCTTTCGCGACCAATATTATTCATGATGAAGGTTTTGGGGTTAGAGCGCGTTTTGACGTTTCGCTGGTAATTACATCCAGCATCATCGGGCGATTTGCCAGAAAAGTGACGCAATCCACCTGCTTTCGGTCTGAAATAGATCTAACCAAAAAGCCTTTATTATGAAGAGGTTTTTATTCTTCATACAAGTGGGGGAAATAGCTTGGCCTTCCAGCTGGAAGTGCAGCAACGGACACGACACTTCACCATAGCTGACCTCCTGCCCTCTCTGTCACAACACCGGCCCCTGCTCTCGTCACGCATCCGCACGAGTGACACCGCTCAGAGAAGGGGGGGTGGGGCAGACAAAACGCAGGTTGACGCTCCTTCCTTTCTCCCTAAAATTCCTCCTGCCTTTGTTTTTTTTCTTCCTTTCAGCCGTGGAGCCCTCGGTGGAGATGACCCCACAGAGACGGCTGCCTCATGCCCCACACAGAGGTAGGCGCACCCTCACGGCAGCTGGCCGTGCACGGTAGCTCTGGGCGTAGGAATGCAGCGACGTTTGAATGCTGGCGTGCTGGAGGATTAACCCAGATGCTGATGAAACGAGTTCAGAAAAGTAAAATGCATCGTGGGTAATGAAACTCTATCCAGCGTCTACGTATTGTCCTAACAAGTGTCCATTAGTGATAATATTGTTATGTTCCAAACAGCACAACGAGATGACGTCCTCTCAAACCCCATTCTTGCACTTCTTTACTGACGGAATGTATCGAGTTTTAGTTATTGTTACTTCTGCAGTGAGTAGCGTTCGTGTCCACCAAACGCCGATGTGTTTCATTCTCCGTGCAGACAAGGAGCCCTCCGTGGAGATGACTCCACAGAGGCGGCTACCGAACAAGCCGCACAGAGGTACGACGGCGTTCTCGTTCGCCGTGGCCGAGCGAGAGCGCGTGGACACTCATGAGGTCTTTTTTCGGTAAAGTCACGTAGGTAAAAAATACAATTAAAATTAATAAAAGTAATAATAGGAATAAAATAAAATAATAAATCACGACGTTTCGGAGGCAACACAAGCTTCCGTCTTCAGGTGGAACAGTCACAGCACGATTGCTGTATCAAGCAAATTATTATTTTATTTTTTACCTATGTGACTTTACCGAAAAAACCTAAGAGTATGAATCCTTGCAGTCACGAAAGCTTCAAATCTAGAACTCATGATGTCCCTTTTTGTAGCTGTCTCTAATGTCCACCGCTCGCCCACTCGCCCACCCCACCCAACCCACTGGCCCACGCCTGCGTGTCTCTCTGTGTGTAGTCTCTGAGTGCAGGGGCCCTGGTGCCACCTCCAGCCACGTGGATGCGAGCAGCGGCCGCTGTCGGTGCCACACGGGGTTCAAGGGGGCGCACTGCGAACGCTGCGCTGGAGGATACTTCGGATTCCCTCTCTGCCAGAGTACGTGGCGTGCGCACACCTCCTGATGCCCTCACTCGTGCGGGACTTAGCGACGGTGATAAATACGGAAGGGTCCGTCTCAGTGTATTCATCTATATATCCAGATCAGCTCGAGCATCCAGCGAATCAATCAACTTCTGTGTCCCCAACTAATCCCCGCCCCCTGTGAAAACAGACACCGCTCCTCCTCCGTGCAGCTCACTTCTGCTCGCTCCTTCCTTCTCTCTCGCTCACTCCATCCCCTCTCATCATCACAACTCTCATCCCTGACATTATGGCCCGGTCATCCCCCTCCTCCCCTCCCTGCCCAGTGCTCCTTCTTCGTGCCGCTCATCTTGAGCCGTGCCTTCTGTCCCGCCATTCCTCCCCTTCCCGAGGTGTGCAGTGGGTAAAAGGTTTTATGAAATCGATAAAGCATTTTAAGCTCTGGAACTCATGGACTGATATATTTTTTCCAGTACCATTTGTTTAAGCAGGTGTACTTCAATTCATTAAAATTGCTCTTGTATATTTTGGTAACCAAAGTCACTCTCTCAAATGCGACTCTATCTTGCTCTCTTGAGGTCTCTCTTTCTGGTTAAACAAAACAATCTTGAAACTCGATTGTTTTTAACCTTTTGAGTGTCGGTCTACGCGTGTGTGTGGTTGTGTTGTGTAGTGGTGGGGAGCGGTGGTGCAGCGGTTAGCGCGCTGCGCTACGAACCCGCCGACCCAAGTTAGATTCCCACTCACAGCCAACACCAGTGACGATTATCTCAACTGGTCCTCGGCCTCTCCTAGGTTTACTCAAACTCAAATGAATACCTGGTGCGGTGTATAAAAACATCGCCAATGGGGAGACAAATGCGGTTGGGCGTGGTATTGGTCACCCATCCCATCGTGTGCCGTGCCAGCCTTCATACGTACTCGCTAACAGCAATTGCCCGAACAGTCTAGTAAGGCTAAACAGGGGATCTTTGTCTTTTTTAAAGCTCCTATGTGTGTGCATAGTATGCATAACCTGCGCTTGCATGTATTCATGTGAACCCGTGTGTGTGTGTGTGCGCGTGTGTGTGTGTGTGTGTGTTTGTTTGTGTGTGTGTGCACGCGTGTGTGTGTGTGTTTGTTTGTGTGTGTGTGCACGTGTAGTGTGCCAGTGCAGCACGGTGGGCACCCTGCCCGAGGTGTGTGACTCCACTGGACGCTGCCTGTGCCGCCCCGAGTTTGACGGGGAGTCATGTGACCAGTGCGGTCCCCTCCGCCACTCCTTCCCACAATGCCTCGGTATGTCCAACGGTGTGGCTCACGAAGCCAGGATGTAAGACCACGCAAGCTCGTCACTGCCAGGCCAAGCGGTGTATCACGAAAGTTGCCGATTTAAAATAATTACCGTTACTTGTTGAAAAGAATGCAATATTTATTCGAAATAAAACTATTCCAAAGTTCTATTGGAAAATTCTAACAGTGTTCAAGGCATGCCCTTTTTGGAATAATGTTTTTATTTCCACAAATTGATCTCAGTTTTTAAAAATATTTTCCCCCAATGTCATCCCAACCCATGATGTTAGAGAATGGCCCATGGAAGTGGATAATGCAGAGCTACTTCTGAGTTCCCTATCAAGTGACCACCGGTCTACACACAGTAGGGGGCAATTCTCTCTCACCCACTGCACCGCCGAGAGTCGTACTTGTCGCACGACAGTCAAACGGGTATTTTGAAAAGTCAGAGCTGGAATTTTGCCAACTTACGTGAAGATAGAAGTGTAGTATTATTGTTTAGTATGATCATTTGCGAACTGGACTGAGTCCATCCACTCACCACACATAAGGACCCAGTTTCATCACGAGTGACTGCCTGCCTTCTCAGCCATTGAGACCCAAAACATGAGGACGTTTAAGCGAATGCTCGTGGATACATCTTGAAGGCAAATGTTATACTTGCTGGTCGTTTTTATTGTTGTTCAGAATGTGGGATTTTTCTTTCATCGCCCACTGCCGCTTGTTTATCTGGACTTTGGCGATGAAGCGGATCAGGTGGCGGTGACGGGAGATAGACGGGGAGAGGGGGGGGCGACGGGAGCTCACTGAGCGTTACTCATCTCCCGTGTCGGGCTCTGAAGCCCCGTGTATTAATATCACACCATCGTTATCTGTCCAGGGACCCCCAACCATAGTCCCCTCCTGAGCCACGGTTTATATTAACAGCTGCCGTTATGCCTTATCTTATCTCATAATAACGAAATTCATATAGCACCTCAACCAAGGTGCTTTACAAGGAATTAACAACGGTGCAATATATGAATGTAATGGGTGGAGATAAGGTGAATAAAATAGATGACAGGTCGCAATTTGGGGGGCGAATCTGCGACGCGTGAATTCGGTGAAAGCGAAATTGATGACAGTGAATGATGATGGACGGAGTGAATGAATGAGGAATGAGTGAGAGCCTAGCGAGCCAATTCTCGCTGCCACTCATCATTATATACGGAGGCTTTCACGGCCAATACGGTCATTCATAATTAGTTTATTTTGGCTTCTGTTAACGTCTAACGATGCTGGTTGTAATCTCCAGCGAAATATCTGACAGTGTCGGGGGTCTGAAAATGTTGTTCACATTCCAACAATACGGTTCCCTAAAAGACCAAATCAAGTGGCATATTTATCCACGCGACAACTTTATTTCATTGGTTCTTTGTGGGGAGTATGTATGTACATATATGTTTAACTTTTTTCGCACCGTACGTAGGCACCGTTATAGTTGAATATTGACATTATCCCTTCACAAATGAAACTAATGACGATACACTTCGGGATGTGTCTGTATCTGTATACGCTTAGAGAAATTTTTCTTAATTCAAGGTCACTTTCTTACACTTGTGTGTGTCGAATGCCCTATTCCTCACTCTGCCCCACAGGACACAAACCTGTCTCTTCACGTGGTGCTCGTTCACACATTTACAAGAATTGACGTTGACACACCGCACTGTGAAGTGGTCAGGTGGCTAAGTGGCTAAGCAGTCAGGGCACTGACCAGGCGTTGCTGAGGCTGAAATCGGGTTTCAGCCACCCGTGACTCTACCAGGCCGTCAAGCCCAGTGAAACTTGACCGCACAAAAAAATAATCGCGTTGAATATTCGTTTTTACTTTTTCACTTCAGCACATTCTGCCTCTGAGAGCTAAAGTATTTTAATTGCCACGTGATGAAAGCCTCTATTCTAGGGCCTGTGCGAATGTGCACCACTCGTGTCAATAAGAGGTAATTGCAGGGACTCTAAAGATCCAATTGCAGGGGCTCTCAGAGGCAATTGCAGGGCCTCTAAGAGGTAGTTGAAGGGAGTTCAGAAGTAGTTCTGTAATTTCATCTTCCAGAAGCCATTCTCTTTCATGGAGCGATGTTACACTGCTTCCTGTTAGAGTTTCAAAGAAACCGATTTTAGTCGAGCGAATACAAATTTGTATTTATTACAAACTTAATATGCCCATTCATTTACACGTGATGAACACTCTTTGCGGGGCATATTCAAGGTGTGCAGCTTCGTTTGGGTAAAGAGATCTATTTCAAGTGACTTCAGAAGTAGTTCTTTGTGGCATCGTTTTCCGCGGTCATTCTCCGGCACAGCGATGGGAGAACCGTTTCTCTCGCTCCCGCCGCGTTGCAGCTGCACCGTTGCAGCTGCACCATTGCTGCTGCACCGTTGCTGCTGCATCGTTGCCGCTGCGGCGTTTTGCCCGGACCCGTCCCAGCGAAGCGTGCGCCTTGACTTCCCCCCTCCCTCCCCCTCCGCGTTGCAGGTTGCGCGTGCGACCCGTTCGGGGCGGTGGCCGAGGACTGCAGCGGCCAGGGCCAGTGCCGGTGTCGTCCCAACTTCGTGGGCCTGCGCTGCGAGGCGTGCGCCCGCGGATTCTACGCCTTCCCCAGCTGCATGCGTACGAATGAAGCCCGGTGCACGAAGCTGCTCGCTCAGGCTGCCCAACTACCCACACGCGCACACACTTGCACGCTTTGTCACTCAGCTGCCCGCTCAACTACCCAACGACCAAATTTCGATTTAAAGCTTTCTCGACAGACCTGTTCTCCACCTGAGGACGGCTGCTTGCGTTGTGGCCGAAACGTCGTGAGAATTATTTTATTACGTTTTTATTTTTATTATTTATTATTTTATTATTTCCATTCTACGTGACTTTACCGAAAGAACCAAGAAGATTAATCCCTGCAGTCAAGAAAGCTCTCACATCGCGCACCTGCTAACTCAAGCTCTCGGCAAGCCATTCGCTCGCCTGCTTAATACTTTGTCTACGCTCTCTCTCTGACTTCTAAATTGTCAGCCAACCATTTTTCTCGTACCCTCAATCACTCACCTACTTACTCATTTCCCCAGTCACGAATTCACTTTATCTACTCATTTCCTGGCTACCAACGTTCCCACGTAGCTGCTAACTCACCTACCCGTTCACTCAACTCTTCTGTTGTTTAGCTGCCTCCTCACCCCCTACCTTCTCGACACATTTTCTCACCACTAATTCCTCTGTTCATGCACTTGCTCACCCTCTCGACGGCTCATTAACTCACCTATTCAGTTCTTCACCTGCCTGCTCACTCTTTTGCCGACTAACTCCGCATTCGCCAACTCTCCCACCCAAATCGCTCGACGACTCTCCGAGACTCCCCGTGGATTTACGCCAAGTGATGCACTCCCTCCCCTACTCATGATTTCACGCTCACCCATCCACTCACCCACCCACTCGTTCATCCACTTATTTAACTCTTCTGTTAAGCACTCACTGATCAATTCTTCTTCCCACGCATCCATTATCATGAACGTACAAGCATGCCCTCCCTCCGATTACTCATTATACAGCTATATCGCTCACATTTCCGCTCACACTTTTAGAAAACTCCCCCCCCCCTCTTGCCCATCTCATTCATGGATGACAACCATACCAGGGTTCGCAGGCATCGAGGGCAGCAGAAGGCGGTATAGAAAAATCCTTCGTTGTGCTGTACTTCTACGCTGCACGTCTTCGCCAACCCACACTGACAAGCGTGATAAAGCATGCTTAACATAACCCCTGTGACCCGCACGCCATGCAGAGGCCCAATCCAGCAGTTGATTGACCCAGAGCTTTAGATACATTTTTGCTCCTTAAAAGTCGAGGGTTCAAATCGCCCTACGACGTTCGAACCTGGTACCAACGATACCGGTGCGTCGAGAAGTGAAAGTGCTCTTAAAGAACAAACGAAATAACGTACCCGCGCCACATTTTCCTCCCGCGCAGCGCATCAAGGTGCCATCATGCCGTGCGTGCGTGTCCCCCGCGTGTGTGCGTGCGACAGCGTGCGACTGTGACGTGCGCGGCTCCTTCTCCGGAGAGTGCGACGCGGCGTCGGGCGCCTGCAGCTGCCGCGCGGGAGTCTCGGGGCGGCGCTGCGACGCCTGCGCTTCAGGCACCTACGGTTTCCCCGCTTGCCAGGGTGAGTGCGCGTGCGCGTTGCTTGTGTTTTTCATTTTTTGAAGTGTGCGTGCGTGCGTGTGTTCGTCTGTCTATAATTTTGTAGATTTGAAGCTTTCGTGACTGCAAGGATTCATATTCTTAGGTTTTTTCGGTAAAGTCACGTAGGTAAAAAATTCAAATTAATAAAAGTAAAATTAAAATTAAATAAAATAATTAAATTTTTTATTTCTTTTTATTTTACTTTTATTAATTTTATTTTTACCTACGTGACTTTACCGAAAGAACCTAAGAATATCATTTTGTATTCCTCGTGCGTTTGCCACTGCGTCGTGTTCTCCTGTGCGTCCGACTCCGTCTCCATCTGCCGTCCCCGTAGTCTGAAACTCCTTTCCGCCGGTCATCTGTGTTGTTGACTTCCTGCCCCCTGCTCAAGTCCAGGCTCAAGAAATCTCCATTCTTCTTTTCTCTGCCCATGCTTGACTGCCCCCCTCTCCATGAAATAAACGTGGCCCACTGTTTCTGTGGCGGTCACAGTCACGCGCCGTATAAATCGACGTCGTCTTGCATCGGCTCATCTTCCCGTGTGTCCATCGCTGCTCCTCGTATTCCTCCAGGGTAAGTAATGATTCTGACACTCTGTCCGCAGCGTCCGGTCTGCTCACCCGTGTGTGGTTTTGTCCTTGGCAGTGCTCTACTGTGACCCTGCCGGCTCAAGAAGCGGTTTGCAGTCGGCTCAGGTGAGTCGACATCAGCTCGCGCGTCGTTTTGGGGTCGGCCGTGGCGGCACGCGAAACGTCGCGAAGGAGAAATGAGCTCGCCACGGCTAACTCGAAAGAGTAGCTTTTAAGAACATTTCTCATACACCGAGCCGTGAAAACCTACATGGATACATCGTTTATTTTTCAAAGTGCACTAAAACATTGGTTCGTACACGTTCAGTACAACATGATGCACTGCACTGGGAATTTTCTGCACTGAAAGGCCCCACGGCGCGTGTGTATAGATTGCTTCGGCCAAGGTGATGAGATGGGCCTTTTTCAATAATTATTTCCTTCACACATACATACACACACACGTTAATTCACACAAAACATTTAAGTCACTATGATGGAAGTGGTATGCAAGCATGATAAAACAAAACATTTAGCACGTTTGTCTATAACCCCGAGAGAGTAAGCTGACATTTTGGGTGGTTGTCTTTCTCTAGAGCAGAGGTCAAAAAGGTCAATGACTTGTAGTTAGAGATCACACTTTACGCCGTGGGGCTCCAAGACAAACTGAGACATTTGATGACAAATTACAAGTAACACTTTAAGACAGTTATCTTATTAGTAGACACACATACGCACACAGCAATGTGATGCGGCTGCTGCTGCTGCCCCTGCTGCTGCCCCTGCCACCGCTGCTGCTACAGAGGACTGTGCGTGCGGTGTTGCTGTCGCAGGCCGGGTGTCGGTGCCGCGAGAACGTGCAGGGAGCCAGCTGCAGCGTCTGCAAGTCCCTCCACTGGGACCTGCGCGAGAGCCACCCCCAGGGTTGCAGGAGTGCGTCTCACCCCACAGCGCATGAGCTTGAATCAACTGCACGGGACCCTTATCCATTGCCTTCATAGCATCTCGGCTCGACTCAGTGGCCTGGCTGTCGAGTGTGCAGGCGGTGTTACTGCACCGCGGATCCTGGGCCGGAGGAGCATGGGTGCCGGGCTACGAAGATTGGGAGATTTGGACAGGGGGCCCCGATTTAGTATTCCTAGCACCAGGGCCCATGCCAACCACGCTATGCCACTGACTCAACTACTGCACCTCTCCTCCATGGCTTTCCCAAATCACTCACCGAGCAACTCCAAATCACCCAGAATGACTGTGGCCAACTTCTCGCCTGCGCCCCTAAATGCGACCACATCAACCGAAGTCCTCGTATCCTTCTACTGGCTCCAAATCCAGACCCAGGTCAACTAGAAGATTGCCCTCTCCTCTCTCATCTCACGCTACTCCCATTCGCGGTATCTCCGCTCGAGCTCCCTACCAAAGCTCGGTCAATGCGAGGTCACTCCTTCTCCATTGCTGCTTCCATTCCCTTCCTCTGGCCATCCGCACTGCTGAGACACTTTCCCTATTCCAGTCCAGGCTCAAGTCCTTCCTCTTCTATTGAGACGGCAACCGATTGTCCGTCTGTCTCTGGGCGAGTCTCCATCCGGACGGAAAAAGCGCTCGCCAAACTCTCGAGAGCAGCGTTCTTCGTTGCAAGACCCGCGGGCCACTGGCAGCTCCTGGTGTCCATTAGTGAGGACTCTGACGTGCAGCCCCCGACAATACGCAACACGTGACAACACCCTCCATCATCATCGTCGTGCTGTCACAAACCCAATGGTTTGAAATGTGTGGCGGCCCTCACACTGATGATGTTTTATTGCCGAAAGTGACCCCCTCTGAACATTCGTGAAGAACACTCCCCTAGAAGCACACGACTTGGGATGTGGCCATATTTAAGTTTATTTATAAATCCAACTTGCGTCGTGTGTGTGCGTGTTGTACGTGTTGTGTGTGTGCGTGTTCCGCGTGACCACAGGCTGCCAGTGCGACAGGGAGGGCGCGCTGAGTGGGCTCGCTGAGTGCACACAGGTCGGTCACCCGTCGCTCCACGTCCGCTCAGCTCGGTCTCGTTCTGCTTAAAAAACGCCGTCGCCCAACAGTGGAACGTTGTTTGTTAAACGAGCCTGCCGATGGTGGCTGTGCAGCACGCGGCCTGTAGTCCAGCACTGTGGAGGCAACGAGGGATGGTGGATCGCGCAAATGTTGCGAAACTCCCTTCCCGTGGGCGTCAAGGGGATGTCGTACTCCGGCTTGTCAGGAGAAGGCATTCCAGCAAAGTGTGGAAGAATATCATCTGTCCTTTCTGAATGGGATAGTGTTTCCCCCTCGCATACCTGGGTTTTCTCTGGGTAACCCTGGGTTGTTCCCACATCTATGAACACTCATTAATTGGCTGAAAATATCTTAAAATAGAGAGGAGTGCAGAGCTTGGGCAATGGTTGTCGCCTGCTCTTTGCGTGGTGGCTGCTGCCTTCCAGGTCGTGTCTGTGGTTCCTCAGCAAATTGTGAGATGCGATTTGCACGAACGATGCCGTATAAAACTGAACGTTATTGTAAAATGTTAAACGTGGGCTACGTTTTTCGATTCCGGGCTGGGAAATATTACGTCTGTCTTTCCGTGCGTTCGAGATCACTTCTCATACTCTTTGGTTCTTTTGGTAAAGTCACGTAGGTATAAAATAAAAGAAATAACTTTTCATGTTCTCATGAAAGCTACAGAATCGCTACGAAATCCAATGGCTACGTAACGGTGCTGCCCAGCTCACCTCCACCAACGACAATCCGAGACGACTCCTCGACGAGACCGATTATGAAATGCGTACTGCCAAAAGTGAAACGCTGTTACCCATACAAATAGATAAACACGCAGCACTGCCATCTTTCGGCCAGAGCTCGCATACAATAATAATAATAAAATAATACTTGAATTTATATAGCACCCATAATGTCGCCCCACGATGGCAGCCGTTCCGATGCGGCACAAGGTGAACAAAGTACCGTGCCTACACGTGGGCATTAACTAGGGTGCCAACAACAATAATAATACAACAATTTGTAACGCGTGCAAATTTCGCGAAACAGAGGCGCAATAATAAGTGTCGGTGTTGACGTCGAATATTTAAGTATTCAATAGATTTTCCCTGGGGGAGGGGGACTAAAACTATTTCCAGTCAAGCCCAGAATAAACCTTCGCTGTGATGTATTTGTTGTCAATGCAACTACGACACAGTGACTGATACATGTTGTCCCGTGGATGGATTATCCCTTCCCTAATCACGTAGACTTTCCACCACTGCAGACATGAATTGAGCCCAGCTCCACCCTCATTAGAGTGTGCTCTGGCATTCCCCGGAGGAGGCAAAGATCCCTAAATCTGACCCTGCCTGGGCCTCAAAGGCGCTAAATAAGAAGTGGTGACGATGGCGATGGAGCTCGCCGGGTTGGATTGCGAATGCTGCGCTTGTGTGTCTGCGGCGGCAGGAGACGGGACAGTGCCCCTGCAAGCCCCACGCTGATTCCCGCACGTGTGGCCGGTGCCAGGAAGGCTTCTTTGCTCTGAAGGCCTCCAGCTACCTGGGCTGCCAAGGTGTGTGCCGCTGCCGCAGTCGCCTCCCGAGAACGAAAGATTTTTAAACAGAAATCCCCTTCGAAATATCTTAATCGATCGTGCAGCGTCTTGAGATTGCCATCACGGATGCTTTGTAAATCCACTTAGTGTTGTATTTCATTACCAAGTGGTCACTGAACCTCTTCCGAGCTTTCCCGAGGTTGACTTGGCCTTACCTGGTGCAGTGTCTGAACGTCGACACTGACTTAGACGTTGGACACAGGGCAGCGTATGTGGTGCTCACTACGCCACCCCATTTTGTGCTTTGCTGGCATTAATAGGTGCTCGCTAACAACGCTTGCCCCCCCCACCAGTTTCTCAGCATGTCTCCGAATTAAATGGGTGCCTACCTAGTCGTGCTAACATTACCGCGGGAAGACTAAGGCGCTCAGCCATGGTGTTGGCCACACCAGCCTCTGTGTTCACATAAGGAGGTGCTCGCTTATGGCACTACGGCCTGTAAGGCTACATGGACCCTTGCGAGTTGGCAGTATACAACAGGGCCGGGTGGAAGGCACACTCACGCCTTTTGCTGTCTATGAATCACCTTTTACGTGTAATTGTCATAGGTTGAAAGCATCATTCACACTGTGAATCAACGTAACTGGGCCTGGGCAGGACACGACATTAGGAGGGACGACAGCCGATGGGCAAGCATAATGATGGATGGGCAGTCAAAGCAGGGAACCGATCCAAGAGGATGTCAGACGCCGAGATGGAGCGGTGAATTTGGCCCAGGTGCAGGAGCTGCTCAGATTGTTGCATCACAGGATGACTAGGGAGGCCTTCATCCAGCAGCGGATCTCACAGAGGGCCGTTAAATGATGACACGTTACCGTTGTGAGCGACAATTAACACGCTCGTGTCTGCATCCCTGTGTCACAGCGTGCGGCTGTGACTTGGGCGGATCGCTAGGTTCCGGCTGCGACGCCGGCACGGGCGCTTGCAGGTGCAAGAAGGGTGTGAGCGGACGCTCGTGCTCCAGGTGAGTTCGGACCCTCCACGGCGCTGGGGTCAACGCCCCGAACGGACTCTGGCCCAGACAGTTCGTCCCCTTGAAGGCCACGGTGCAACCGATGCCGCCGGCATCCGTCCGCCGGCATGAGTTGCCGCACCGTGCTCCAGTGTGAACAATGTAGCTCCAAATGTTGGCATATATCATTGCTAGCGGGTTACCTGGGAAGGCAACTCCCAATCCAATCGCAGGCAGATGTATGTATGTTGAACTTCTTTCGCATCGTACATAGCCAACCGTGATAATCGGAGGTGCAGGGGAAGGACAACAAACTAAACATAAAAAGCAGTTCGAAAGAAATGAATGTTTTATCTGTATTGAAAAAAGTGCAGAGTTCCAGTGGCTTTCTAATATCGGAAGGAAGAATGAGATGTTAACTACCTCACCTAGTATGCAGGAGGTCGTTCGATCCCGACCCTGACGCCTGCGGTGCGACGTGGCCGGTGTGTCTCAGTCCTCGCCAGGGCTACTACTTCCCCGGGCTGGAGCGGCTGCATGTGGAGCTGGAGGATGGACGAACGCCCACGGGGGACCCCCCGCGCTTCGGCTTCGACGGGGCGGAGTTCGCCAACTTCAGCGGGCGAGGATACGTGAAGATGTCGCCTCTTCAGGTGCGCCCGGCTCCTGTGGGGCACAGCGAGGGGGAAAAGCTACCAGATTTTCTTGTGGAGGGTGGGGTGGTCGGTCAGAGGCAGAGGAATACAACAAAAATGTCATGTATGTATATTGAACTTCTTTTGCACCATATGTAGCCAACCGGTCTTGAGCCTGGCCTTTGACAGAGGTAGGGAATCGACGACACCAATAGCTGGGGGAGGAGAGTTTCAGACAGCAGGGGCAGCAGAAGAGAATTTGGAGATCCTCCCACTGACAAAAATTGAACTGGCCGCTTTAATGGAAAGCCATTGTTGCTGGAGCAAAGAGTGTGTGGAGGGGCGAAGAGTGATATGAGAGGGGAGAGGTCGGAGAGTGCGTGGAGGGAAGTAGAGTGAGATGTGAGGGGAGAGGTAAATAAGGGGCGAGTCCAAGAAAGACCTTGAAAACTGCGAGCGTGACCTTGAAATCGATATGGAATGCGATTGGGAGGGATCCCAATATGGTGGTGATGGTGTAGCCTCATTTACAGTCGCAGGTATTCGAGTGAGACCTCCCACAGAGAAGAAAGTCAGCTGGAGACTTTGATCCTATGCACAGTGGTTGCTGGGCCGCACAGTGACACGGGAGGAGCGTAGAGTGAGATGACAGAGGTAGACAGGAGTGAGTCCATGGAGGATCATGAATATGGGGGGGCGGTGGGCGCTGTGTGATCCTAACTCGACTTCACCTTCTCTCTGCTGAACAGGAAGTGGTGCAGGTGGACGTGGAGCTGGGCCCCTCCACCCTGGATCTGTACGTGGTGGTGCTGAGCTACGTGAGCGCGCTGGACGTGCCCGTGACGGGCAGGGTGACGGTCACGCCGCGTGGGCCGCAAGGTGCGTCTGCACGTCCACCAACAACAACGACCATTGCCGCTAAGTGGCGGTGACGTCGCTACGGCGCTTGTGCCAGGCTATGTGCACTTTAAGGCCACGTGAAGTGTCGAATGCCCACTGGCAGGAGGTCACGGGTAGACCCCGGTGCCACGGCTGTGGCTGACTGAGATGACTGGCTCGTAAAAAAAAAAATGAGATGACTGGCTGATGCACCACCTGTGCCCCCTTCTGTGCCAACTCGCTGTGTTTTAGCCACCCGGTGCTCCGCTCGTTGTTCTGAACGTTCCTCCAACCAGCCCGACACCACGCACGTGCACACACATCCATGCTGCACCTCATAGGTTAACATGAAAGATTGTGATTATTTGTCGAAGCTACTCGCGACTTGAAGGCAACGTTGCATTTTGCCCCACGGAAAATGCAATTTCATTCGCACAGTGGCTAAACAGAGACCAAAGACGTTCCTGTGGAGTGCAACGCCTTGCGGCCTGTTTCCAGCAGGCTCGGCGGTGCAGCAGGAGAAGGCCGTGGTGTTTGCTGCTGCTGCCGGGGGCGGCGGTGGCGCCGGCATGGGGCCCGGTCGCTCCATCACGGAAGCCATCGTGCTGCGCCCCGGCTCGTGGACTCTCTCCGTCCACGTGTCGTTCCCCTCGTCCGCGTCATCACCATCATCGCACTCAACCTCGTCGCCGCTGCTGCTGTTGGTTAGTCCGGAATTATCGACACGTACAATCCACTTAAGCCATTTCCCATTCCGAGACGTCTACAAGTTGCAGGGTGGGTCCCGTCCACTGCTGAATCACGGGGACGGGCAAGCGGTTCAGCGTGAATTGTATTTAGAGAGGTGTAGTAGCGCCGTTGTTTTTAAAGACACTGTACACACCGCAGAGAACTGTAGCGACACGATCGCACTCAACGATAGTTGGCGCCAAACTGTCCCACACGACCTCACGAATGGCCTTGTGGGAGTCTCGGTATGTCTTCCGACCTGAAGACCGTCATTGGAATGGGAAAAGGTTAACTTGCTGTGGTCAGCACTGGGGAAACAAAGGCGGCCGGGCATGGTGCTGGTCACCCACCCCCATGTGTGCCGTGCCGGCCTGCAAAGGTGCTACTCGCAAACAGCACTTGCCCCAACAGTCCTTCTCGGCTAAACGGGAGAAGCTTTGTTAAAAGCGACTGAGGGCTCTTCTCGTACAGCAGTTGCGAGTTGCAATATCCACAGACGATGAATGACAGCAGCCGCGCAGGGTTTCCATCCGTGGAGTTTACGCTCATTGCACCGCCCCCCACCCTCCTCCGCCCCCCTCTCTCTCTCTCTCCCCCCAGGACCACGCGCTGCTGCTGCCCAGTGCCGGCGCTCTCGCCGAGTCGCCGGTCCTCCGGCAGGCGGCCTCTGACCCCTGCTCCGTCAGTCCGACCGCCGCCCAGCGTGCTCAGCTGTGAGGCCACTTTTGTATTTTTTTATCACTGCGAATGTCTCGCGACCACGGCCGCCCGCCTAGGCCAATGTTCCTTAGACGTGACCATCGGCGTCATTGAAGCACACTCATCTATACGTACAGATGCTGTTTGCGATTGACACTACACGTAGCTGTACGGCACAACTGTCAATCCACTGCTGGATGAGGACCTCCGCAATGCCGTTCTGGTAATGGTGGCTACTTGACCATATTTCGCCACACCGATCAGTGCAGACTGGTAAAGGCGGGGAGCATAGAAGTACAGTACAATGTCATTTTCTGCACTGCCCTCTGTTGCCCACCGCATTTGCATGGCCCCACAGCCGCCTTTAACCAGCAGGCATGTACGGTAGTCACCCGCCCATTCTAACACTACCCAGGCTCAAGCCTGCTTAGTTTCCGAGATCTAAGAAGATCGGGTGATATGATCACGGGCGTGCAATGATATATTCATTCATTAATCGCGCATTGTCGACGTGTGACCTCTTGCCACAGCATTCGCTGCCATACACCGGTCTCTCGAGTGATTCGTTTAATCCCCGGCGACCACAGCGCCATGCCTACATGGCTACGACTGAATGAATGAATAAAAAAATTAACCCGTAAAAACAAAGTTTTGCACTATAAATCCTTTATATGCGTGGCATCGGGGCGGCTAGAGTCCTCTTGTCCTCTGGCTTGAGATGGCTGCCACCTATGGGTCAGATGATTGTCTGGCAGCATTAAACAATTGGTAATTAAATATTTAAAAAAATTTCCCTAAACACAACGAGTCTGTGTGCAAAATGTCAGCTCGATTGGATCACGGGAAGTGGGTTAAAAAACGACCGTAAGATTTGCACAGTCCTAAGCAAGCAAGCGAACTTAATATAAAGGATTTAAAAACTGCCCGTCACAGTCGTTATTTTCCATTTGTGCTTCCCGCTTGACGCACCGCCTCCCCGTCGCCCAGGTGTCTCCATTACCTGTACCTGCCACTGGAGGGGTTCGCCAGCGTGCGGGGCATCGAGGGCACGTACCACGGCACCGGCAAACATCGCTCGCCCAGCCAGGGCCGCAAGGCCACGCACAGGCACCCCGTCATGGCCGACGTCAGCCACAAGCAGGTGAAGCGCTTGTCTGTGCGGCCTCGCGGTCACATTCGAGTGCGAGTGTCTTGTCCTAAAAAAAAAAAGAACTTTTATTTATTTATAAAGCAGGTAAGGCCCACTGAGCTATGTCGCTCTTTTGCAGAAGTGACCTGGCCACAAATAGCTCAACGTAGTGGCTTATCACGCAGAAATTTACATCAGCCAAATACTCTAAAGGCATGTTGATTCTAAATGTGGTGGAAAAAACCGGAGGACCCGGAGAAAAATCCAAGCGACCACGGGGAGAGAGACACGCAAACTCCAAATATACAGCAGCAGGCGTCAGAGTCGGGATTGAACCCACGACCTCCTGCATACCAGGCGAGGGAGTTAACATCTCGCCACTCCCACCCTCCCCTCTGCCTCTCATATGCTCAGGAGCGAATGTCGACTTCTGCTCACCATGAGAGGCGTTCAGGAGAGGGTTCACATGTATTTGCTATTCTTCCTCCGTTGAAGGAGTACAGACTACAGTGGTTTACCATATGGTCCAAAGTTTGGGCTGCATGGCCACAGTGTTGTCTTTAATATTCCATTCGTGAAGAGGATGTGTGCGTCGGCCTGTCGATGTTCTGTTGCGGTTTATGGTTACACCGGTTCCTTTCTTGGAGGAGGAACGTCAAAGCCAGGAGGCGTGATGTTTGGGTCTCAAATGGACGTCCGAGAGAAAACAACTCATTCGATATCCAAACGCTTTGCACCGCCTGGCTTTCACGTGAGAATGAAAAGCTGCGATTGTTGCACCGCTGAAAGCTGCTAATGCGCGACCCCCTTTCCAGCAATCGCTCTACCTGGCCGTGCGGGCTCCAGAGGCCGGCCGCTACTCGCTGCTGCTGGAGTACGCGAGCGAGGCGGAGGCCGAGTCCGTGCAGGAGGCGCGTGTGTCCGTGCGCGACGCCGGCGGGGTACAGCAGTCGCTCAGGGCCAGCGTGCAGATCCTGCCATGCAACTACAGGTGCGAGTGCGTTGCACGCGGGCGCAACAACAACGACAACAAGCGGCTACTGAGTGACGGAGATATCGCCACAACGCTTGTTGTGCCAGGCCAGGTGCCTTTTGAGGTCATGCGAAGTGTCGAAGGCTGTCTGGCAGGAGGGCACGGGACAGGTTTTTTGTTCAGGTGTTTTTGTGGTAACTGAGTGAGATGATCTGCACTCCCCCGCTGCGTCAACATGCTGCGTTTTTAGCGCTCTGCTCGGTGTTTTGGGCGTCGCTCCAATGCCCTGCGTTGTTGCTGGAGAGCGACTGCTCGCGTCTTGTGTGCACGTCCACTCGTCTGTACGTAGGCACCAACGGGCACGGGTGGAGTGAATGCAACGTAAGCGTGGAAGGACCATCCATCGTGAGGTTTTCACAAGTTTGGCTCTTTATGTAATGAATCTTCCTAATGACGGATTATAATCCTCTGTTCAGGGCAATAGCCCTATCTGATGGAGGGCTTCTATTCAAAGCGATCGCCAATTACACATTCATCATATGTATGTTGAACTTCTTTCGCAGCATGCGTAGCCAACCAGTCATCCTTCTGCGGCCATCTGGAATGCTCTTCCGATATTAGGAAGCTACTGGAGCTACGCACTTTTCAATCATCTAGATTGAAAACCAATTTCTATAGAACTGCTTTTTGTGTTTAGTTTGTTGTCCTTCCCCCGCACCTCCGATTAGCATGGTTGGCTACGTACGGCACGAAAGAAGTTGAACACACATACAAACATACGTACAGGTGCTAATCTTCGTGTGAACTCGGCCCGTCTCCTCTCTCCCGCAGCTTCCTCTGCCGCGCTGTCGCCCTGGACCCGTCCGGTGGCGTGGCCTCGTATGACCTCCCTGAGCAGGCCGAGCTGCACCTCACGGGCAGTGGCCTCAACTTCCTGCTGGTCAGTGCTTCCTGCTGCTGCTGCCACACAAGGCCCACACTACCCTCTAGCACAGAGCACCCCACGTGAGACCCCACGTGGGACCCCACGTGGTACCTGCACATGGGACCTCGTTCACAAATGCTGTGCTCCGTGTAAACCTCTGACATGGGTGCTGCTGCTGCTGCCGTCCACAGCACAAGGTGCACCTGATACCCGTGCACAAGTTCAGCGCGGCCCTGCTGGAGCCCAGGGTGCACTGTGTGTCCCGTCATGGCACCTACTCACCCACCGGGTCAGTATCATCAAAGCAGCCGAGCCGTACTTTCATTCGTAATCTATCCATTGTTGCCTTTCATTCACTTTAACCGTGCAATTTGTACATCGTTGCAAATTTATATTAAATATCTGCCCATTGTTTGTTTGTTTGCCAGCAATTTTGTATTCACTTCCGCACCAGGCGTTTTAACCCGCGGCCTGTACATCGTCGTGCCAGTTCGGGATCAGTCCGTACCCACTCAGTAGCGTGATAACCTGTGTTCGATCCGTCGGCGATCACTCGTCTCCCACAGCCACGAGTGCCTCGCGTCCCAGTTCCTGTTCCCGGCCGCCTCCGTGCGACTCGCGCCGACGCGCGACTCGGCGGAGAAGCCCGGCGTGGGCACGAGCGGCGCCGCGGTGTTCGGACCGAGGCCTCGACCCCGGAACCCCAAGACCCTCGCCGAGGGCAGCAGCGCTGAGCTCGCCCTGCTCGAAGGGGAGGAGGTGCGTAGCCCCGTGACAAACACCGCCTCTTCCGGTTGGTTACGAATGGTGCCATTTCTTGGATAACTGAGCTGGGCATAGACTTGTAAGTTGCCATCCAATGAGGAATACCCAAAGCGTTACCAAATGGCGAGCTTGCTTTAAAATCGGCGTCTTGTTCTAATGCTGTGCTCGAGCACTGCGAGCATCGATGCAGTGTCATCGTTCTGGAGAAGCAACGTCCATGTTGCGGTGTCGTGTGCAGAACCAGATCCGCATGATCGTGCGGGTGGAGAAATCGGGGCGCCACGTCTTCCTGCTTCACTACTTCCAGCCGGGGCAGCCCAGCGTCCACACCAAGGTGGCACTGGAAGCCAGCACTTGGTCCTGGCATGGTAACGGCCCTATGCACACGTGCATGGCACACGAGATATGCGTGACATCGTTGTTTACCACGGTAGCGGTAACACACATCCCGCTGTCTTTCCACGTGAACCCTAGGGGCGCTACGGTGGCGAGATGTTAACTACTTCTCCTGGTATACAGGAGATCGTGGGTTCGATTTTGACCCTACCGCCTGTATATTTGGAGTTTGCGTGTCTCTCCCCGTGGTCATGTGGATTTTTTATGCGAGTATTTGGCTGCTATGAATTCCCACATGCTCATCCATGTTCGTTTAGCTATCAAATGTGATAGCCAGGTCGCGTCTGAAAAAGAGCTATATAGCTCAGTGGGCCTTACCTGGTAATATTACAAACAAAAAATAGTTGAATAGTTTAGTCTAATGTAAAGGAACGCATTTCTGGGAGGTTCAACTGGGACAAATGGCAAGCTGGTAGCCCCACACACACAATGAGTGGCCCCTCCTACTGGTCACAGGCCCCATCCACTCTACCAACGGCGGCCACTGCTCTTGTAGCTCCGCCTGACACTCGGGTGTACTCAGCCACTGCTCAGGTGGCCCTGCCCATCACCCATAACACAGGTCAAGCATCAGTCTGCATAAATATTGAACCGGGGGGCACAATCCTGACTTATTACAACAATTCTGCGACACCTGGACAGACATTCTGAAACCGGTGACTCTCCCGGCCTAACCGGAACAGCTGTAACCGGTGGTAGCTGTACGCGTACTGCCATGTGCACCAGGTCACGTGGGTGACAGTTGTTCTCTGTGGGGTGACCCTTGACCTTGTTGCGTGTGCTGCTTTCCACCGCAGGCTCCTTCAACGCCACGTTCTGCCCGCACGCGTATGGCTGCCGTGGCGTCGTGGCATTCGAGTCTCAGCTCGGCGTGGACTTGAGGGAGGGCCAGGAGGTGTCCATCACTCTGACCAACCCCTCCGGCGAGGCCCTTTGGCTGGTACGTGCAAGCAGACACGGATTGTGTACGTGTGTATGTATGTTGAACTTCTTTTGCACCGTATGTCGCCAAACGTGCTAAATCGAAGGACATCGGTTTTAAAGAAATCAGTTTTCAATCTGGATGATTTAAAAGTGCATTGTTCCAGTGGCTTCCTAAGATCGGAAGGAAGAGCGTTCCAGACGGACGCAGAAGCGCATCCGAAAGTGCGCGAAGCAGTGAGCATCTTTGTTCGATGGCCAACCAAAAGCCGCTGCGATGGCTAGCCAAAAGGCTATGGGATTAACCCCTAGGATATTAAGGCCCTTATATGTTGTAGGCCCTCCATTCCATAATTGAAGTAACAGTTGAGCGACGATAGCACGGCCATCGGAATTTTTGTTGTCTTTGAATTACGATGATGTCATTCGTGACTTTGCCACGGCTAAAGCTAGGGGGAGGGGAATGTGTTTAAAGAAATTAGTGATGTGAGTGATTTATGCTCGACGAAATTACCTTGAGTCGAATACATTTCTTAATTTTACATAGGTAAATAGAATATATAACTATATATTCTGTATTTCTTTGTAATTAGTTTGACAATAAGTAATATGTATTTTGTCCCTTCCCTCCATATTAGCCTTCTCTTCACCTCAATCGAGCCCTGAGCACAATATTTGTTTTCTCACTGAATATTTTCCAGCTCATCAGGAGAAAGCAGTAGATGGCATAGGAGGCTAGTAACCACAGCCATAGCGATGGGGATACTGAATGTGGTGTGCCGTGAGTGCGGAGATACACTTTCGGGTCCCCTGCATTCTGTAACGGCTGCGTGCGGTTTGATCGTGGTGCTTTCCGGGGCCTGCAGGCGTACGTGCTGGCGGTGCCGGAGAGCCTCTTCACACCCTCCGTGCTGCGGGAGGAGCCCGTCGACCGATCGCGCGACTTCGTCACCCTCTGCGGCGCCAACGGCTTCTCCATGCGGTGAGCCGGAGTTGTATTGTTGCAGCGTTGAGTGACAGTGGAGTCGCATTGGCAGAAGACATATTTCAGATAATGGGATTCATATTGAAAAATAATTGATGCTGCATTGTTAAATATGCGGGTCTGTCTCTCGCGTGTATGGATGTGAAAGGTGGGTAATTGAAAAGACCCTAGAGAGCAAACTAAGAGCAGCAGAGATGTGTTTTTTAAAGATGGATGTTAAAGAGTTCATGGACAGACAAGATGAGTAATTCGTTCATTATGGATCGAAGCAGGGTACAAAAATAAAATTAACAAGACTAATTATAGAAAGGCCGGATTAGATTTCTTGGACATGTAATGAGAAAACAAGATACAGAATATGAATAAGTGTTTTTCACTGAGAAAATCATAGGTACCGCAAGAAGACGGGGAAGACAGCGAATTATGCACTTTAAAACATTTGAACAATCTGATGCAACTGGGAGGACAAATCCAACACGTAGTTCTTGAGTAAACATCACGGACAGAGCTGAATGGAAGGAAGTCCGTGATCACTGATGCTTTTGAGAAAGGACGCGGCTACGCGTAGAGAGAGCGAGCGTTAGAGAAAGAGCGAGTGAGAGTTCCATCGCTGTGCATGCACCGTATCGTATTGGCCATACTCTTGTGGTACCTAGAAGGGAAATAATAAAATAATAAAAATAAAACGTTATAAAATACAATTCTCACGATGTTTCGGCCACAACGCAAGCAGCCGTCCTCAGGTGAAGAACAGGTCTGTCGGAAAGACAGACCTGGCCGAAACGTCATGAGAATTGTGTTTTATTATGTTTTATGTTAATTATTTTATTATTTCCCTTCTACGTGACTTTACCGAAAGAACCAAGAAGATGAATTCCTGCAGTCACGAAAGCTTTCAATCGAAATCTTCTGGTACCGTCAGGCAGCATTGCCGCCATCGCACGAGCCCCACACCTCGGTGACCTTTACCCCCCCCTCCACCCCGGCAGCGGAGACTCCGTCCCCGAGTTCTGCCGGGCGGCGGCGTCGTCGCTGTCGGCGTTGGCGGATGACGACGGCGCCCGACGGTGCAGCTGCGACGCCGCTGGCTCCCTGCCCGGGCCGTGCCGCCCCCTCGGCGGGCAGTGCCCGTGCCGCCCTGGCGTCGTCGGACGCTCGTGCGACCGCTGCGCCGCGGCTCACCACAGCTTCCCCGAGTGCCGCCGTGAGTACACGCGACGGGGCATGGGAGAGGGTGGTGCTGTGTGGCGAGGACCGGCTCTTAGAGGGTGGGTTCCACGGGAACGGCGAGGCTTGCCCAGCTCAGGATCGTTCATCCGATGCTGGGGGGGACAAAGCGTTCTCGACCGCGGCCCCAAAAATCGTCGTTGCGATCGTGGGCAGTTGCTATAGATGCACACGGGAGAGGCTCTCTCTGAGCCCCTCCTGTCTCTGCACTAATCTTCACGTGTCTCCCGCATGTCTACCACGTGTATCCAATGTGTCTACCACTTGTCTCCACACATCAACCACGTGTCTCCCGCATGTCAACCACGTGTCTCCTAATGTCAACCACTTGCTCCCATGTGTCAACCACGTGTCTCCGCATATCAACAACCATGTGTCTCCTCATGTCAACCACGTCTATCTCATGTATCTACCACAAGTCTCCGCATGGGTCAACCACGAGTCTCCACACGTCAACAACCACGTGTCTCCCATGTGTCTCCCACGAGTCTCCACACGTCAACAACCACGTGTCTCCCATGTGTCTCCCACGTGTCCCCTCCCAGCGTGCAAGTGTGGGGGGCGGCTGTGCGACGAGCGCACGGGGGAGTGCGTGTGCCCCCCGCGGACGGTGCGGCCGGACTGCACGGCGTGCCAGCGGCTCACGTTCGGCTTCCACCCCCTGGCCGGGTGCCGCCCCTGCGAGTGTGAGGACCAGGGCCTGGCCAAGGCCGGGTGCGACCACGAGACCGGACAGTGCAGGTTCGTACGGTGGGCGTTAGAGAGCGCGTCGGTTTATCGTTTAAAACTGATTTCGTATCGGCTTTCGATGAAGAGCGGGCAGCGGTAATGGCGAGTTGTTTCGCACACTATGCGACGAATCCCACATCCCGTGTTTGATTCCCACTCACGGCCAACACCGGTGATGATTATTTGAACCGGTCCTAGACTTCCACTTGGTTGAGTACCTGGTGCGGTGTGTAAAGATCAGCGTTGTGGGGGACGGAGGCGACAGGGCGTGCGTGGTGCTGGCCACTCCAAATCCTCTTGCCGGCTTTCACCGGTGTTCTATAACGGGCACTTGCCCGAAGGTCTGTTAAGGCCATATGGGGAATATTTGTCTCTTTGTGACCGTGTGTGTGTGACCGTGTGCGTGCACACCTTGGGCAGGTGCAAACCGAACGTGGGAGGGCAGCGGTGTGAGCACTGTCTGCCAGGATTCTTCGGGTATCCCGAGTGTCGCCCGTGCGACTGCGACGCAGCCGGGGTGTCCGGCGCCGGATGTGACGCCGTCACGGGCCAGTGCCTCTGCAAGGTGCGGCACTTCCTCCCACAATGCATTGCCGTGGCTTTGTCGCATGCCACAAACCGCGTTTTGCGCCGTTTGCCAATTTAACCCAGGAGGGCTAAGTGATCGAGTGAAATATTTCCGCGCTCAATAATCTGAACCGTTCCTGAGTTCAAATTCTCCACATTTCCTCCCCAAAAAGTATATATTTTATAAATTGGAGCGAAATTACAGTCGAGTATAAGGTAGCATGGGCATACGAGGAGCGGAAAGGAGGGGATTCCACAAAAGATCGCACAGGAACTAAAATAGAATGTGAAGAGTGAATAGTCATTGGAAACGTTTTTAACTTGGGCAGAAGAGATGTTGAGGGAAATTTGCTACCTCATTAATCCAAACAAAACTCGGCAAATGCAACGGACGAGTCGACGTGACTGTTGCACTCGAGGGGACGCACCTCACACGTCGGCCATCTTTCCGCCCATGCCTCCCTGCATTTAGGAAAACGTGCAGGGGCGGCGCTGCGATGTTTGCCGCGTCGGGACCTTTGACCTCGGCGCGGAAAACCCCAAGGGCTGCACGGCCTGCTTCTGCTTCGGCGTCACGGGGGAGTGCACGAGCTCCGAGCTGCGCCGAGAAACGGTCAGGGGCATGCACACATACGCGCTTTCGCTGACATGCACACTCACAAATACACACACGCACTCGCATGCACACTCATGCACACACTTATGCATGCATGCACTCATGCATTCACTTATGCACTCATGCACGAAAACACACACACACCCACGCACGCACTCACACACTCACCCATGGACTCATATAAGCACGCGTGCACATACGTACAAAAGTATGTGTGCACACACGTACATTGGCAGCTTTAAAAGGCGCTCGCTAACATAACAGCACTTGGCCCAAAAGCCTACGCAGCTCGGTAGTGAATGCGATTCTGCCCGGTGCTACAGATCGCAAACATGTCGGGCTGGCGGCTGCTGATGGGCAGTGGGGGCGGCGAAGAGGAGAGCGTGCAGGTGAAGCACGACGAGACGGCGCGGAAAGCGGAGGCCGCTCTGAGCAAGCGGCACATGGACGCCGAGCTGGAGCCGTACTGGGCAGCGCCGCAGGCCTACCTGGGCGACCAGGTGAGTCCCGCTCGTTCGCCGGCATGCGCAGCAGCAGCTGCAACAGCCCCAGCAGCATCCGATACACCTTGACGCTGCCACGGTAACAGCGTTGCATTTGTGCCCAGTGCTGCAATGTGCCGTCGTTTGCCCCGCCCGTCCACAGCTGTCATCGTACGGAGGGGAGCTGAGCTACCGCGTGCGCGCCTCTGGGGGTCAGGACGGACATCGAACTCCACCCGGTGACCACCAGCAGCCCGACCTCATCCTGCGGGTGGGTGTGGAGGAACCCTCCTCCCCAGATCAAACCACCTCGAGTCGGCTCGTGTTATGAACAGTAATTCCTCGTTGAACGTGGTAGATGGGCGCCACGGTGACCAGATGTTAACTACGTCACTGGGTATGCAGGAGGTCGTGGGTTCGATCCCGACCCTGACGCCCGTTATATATTTTGGTTTTTGCATGCCGCATGGATTTTTGTCTGGGTCCACCGGTTTTTTTATCCACATCCAGAATCGACATCACGCGTGTAGAGTATTTGGCTGCTACAAATCTCCACGTGATGAGCCACTTCGTTGAGCTATCATTTGTGGTCAGGTCGCTTCTGAAAGATAGCTCCATAGCTCAGTGGGCCTTACCTGGTAAAAATAGAAATAGCCAATAAAAATGTGTTCCTGAAGGCTGCCGCGTGAAGTAAAAATGCGTTTACAGGGGATAAATAAATACATTCGAACAACACAAACTTGAATCACGTTTGCGCTATAAAATCAGCCTGCAGTCATCCCATGGCGGTACAAAGAACTGAGATAAGGTTACGCCGCCGCGCTCCGTATCATTCCGCGCGTGTAACTCCCAAACCACTCGGCCGCATCACTCAATAAAGTAGTTCGTCGTCGAGCGCGTCATGACGGTGCGTGTTCCGCGCCGTGCGAAAAGTGTTCTCGAGTAGAAGGACCGTTTTAAGCTTTCGTGACAGCAGGGATTCATATTCTTGGTTCTTTCGGTAAAGTCACGTAGAAGGGAAATAATTTTAAAAAACATAATAAAATAATTCTCACGACGTTTCGGCCACAACGCAAGCATTCATTCAGACGCTGTCTTTCCGACAGACCTGTTCTTCACCTGAGGACGGCTGCTTGCGTTGTGGCCGAAACGTCGTGAGAATTATTTGATTATGTTTTTATTATTTTATTATTTCCCTTCTACGTGACTTTACCGAAAGAACCAAGAAGATAGAAGGACCGTGCTATGGCGTAAAACGCGTCGCGCGAACGCGGCGAGGGCTTGCCGGACTCCGTGGGGAGTAGGTGTACGTGCGTTCCCGTCACCCGCCGTGTTGCCGCGTGCCTGCAGGGAAGCCACATGAGCTTGGTTCATCGCGCCGAGCGGCAGCCGGTCGTGGGAGAGACATTCCACGGCTCCGTGCGACTCCTGGAGGTGCGTGGACCGTGATGGCTGTTCTTGCCCTGTGCCGAACCATGTGTGTGTGTGTGTGTTCAGGTATATCTGTGTGTGGAAACTCATATGTGTGTGGGTCTGTGTCTCTTTGTGTGCACTCATGTGTGTGTGCTGGGGTTTATATGGGTGTTCTTTAGTGCTGGTGTTTCTGTCTGTTCAACCATGTCTGGATATTTGTGTTTGTGTGTGTTTAAGATGTGTCACTATTATGCGTGCGTTTTTATGTGTCTTGGGTTTTTGTGTTCTTCTGTGTAAACATAAATAATAATGCGCTCCATTCCTTTTAATTACCCAGGAAAGCCTCGCTGAGTCACAAGGCTCTTTTTCAAGAGGGTCCCGCTACATTCGGATATTTTTCCCAATTTCACGAATGAGCATTTTAGTGTTTAGCATGAACCACTTCGTTGAGCTATCATTTGTGTCCAGGTTGCTTCTGAAACAGAGTTATAGAGCTCGGGGCAGCCTTACCTGGTAAAATAAAAAGAGTGTCGTAGTAGTGAATAGTTTCGTAGTTACATGAGGTGGAGACTGCGGTACTCAGAGGAAAGCCATCCACAGGAGGGGCCCAGCTACCTTCCATTGCTCTACTGCCACGTCACAGCCCAAGCCTATAACACCTGGCATTCGTATCTCATCATACATTTATATAGTACAGTGAACGAACTATGGTACAAGATGGTTGGAGAGATGAAACGAGATGATAGGATGGGATATGATGCAAGATGGTTGGAGAGATAAAACGAGATGATTGGATGGCATACACATCAAATGAGGTGGTGGTGGTGGTGGTGGTGGTGACGACGCGTGGGATAAACAAAGACGGAAACGAGATGAGTGGATCGACGATCGATGGCTCCCATCGGTGCGCGAACCAGGCGTAAACCTGACGCTGCTCCCGTGCCCTCAGGACGGCTTCCAGCACGGCGCTAGCGGGCGCCCCGCGTCGCGCGAGGAGCTCGCCATGGTGCTGCAGGACCTGCAGGCGCTGCTGCTTCGCGGCCGCACCCGCCCGGGACCCTCCCGCCTCACCCTCTCGCACGTCGTCATGGAGACGGCCTCCGCAAACGCGTCCGGACCGCTCGCGCGGGGCGTTGAGCGGTGCCTGTGCCCCGCCAGCTACCGGGGAGGCTCCTGCCAGGTGCGTGTGGCGGACAGGCTGGCGGGAAGGGTCGGGGTTCAGCGTTCGCGGGTCACGGTTTAGGGCAGGGGTGGGGAACGTCCGGCTCGCGGGCCGTGTAAGGCCCGCAAAATCATTTGATCTGCTCCAGCTATCAGATTAGGGGTGAGTTAATGAAATGTTTCACCAAATATAACGGGCGAATTTTCGTGCTGATAATTTTGTATGGCCCGCGAATGATGTTATAAATATCCAAATGGCCCTTGGCAGAAAAAAGGTTCTCCACCCCTGGTTTAGGGCGAAGGGTTTACGTGTCGCGTCCAGGAGTTAAGTTCGCGTGTCAGGGTTAGGGCAAAGGGTTATGGTGTCAGGGTTCATCGTTTAGGGTTAGAGTTAAGTGGTAGGGTTAGCGTTCATGTGTTAGGGTTTTAAGGTTAGCGTTAAAGAGTTCATGTGTCAGGATTAAGATGAACGGCTTTTTGATTAGCATTAGGGTGCAGGCCTTACATGTCAGGGTTAAAAAAGTTATACTTCCACGAGCAGGACAAGTGATAGGGTGTGTGTGTCAGTGGGCAGAGTGAATTTGTCTGCTAGGGTGAAGGATTACGGTTCAAATGCGAGTGGCTGTAAGTTGTCTTGGATCAGGGTTAAGGTTACTGTTGTTATTTTTTAGTTAGTGATAATGTGTGAGGTATAGTGGTGTTGTAATGGTGGGGAGCGGTAGTGCAGTGATTAGCACACTGTGCTACGAACCCGGTATGCCGAGTTACATTCCCGTTCATGACCAATAACAGTGGCGAGCAATTGCACCGGTCCTGAGCCTCTCCTAGGTTGACTCAGCCTTCAACAAGTATCTGGTGTGGTGTGTAAACATCAGCACTGGCGAGACACAGTTTAGCCGGGCATGGTGCTGGCCATCGACTCCCTCGTGTGCCGTGTCCTCCAGTGAATCTCTCGGCTGAGTCTTCATCTATGCCAGAGGTCGGCAGCCAAAATAACAAGAAGGGCCAATTTTTTTAAATTTTTAGTCAAAAGCTCAATATTTCAAGAGCCACAATGCACTGTGTGGTGAATGCGAGATGGTGGGTCCTTAATAAAGAACGTGTCACGAAGCAGCAGCCCTTCAAGGGCCACCGCTACGGTTCCGGAGCCGCAGGTCGCCGACTCCTGGTTGGCTTCAAGGTTGCTGCCCCTGGAGGAGAACTCACATCTCCCGGTGCCCCCCTCTTGTACCCCCCCCCCCCCCCCCGCCACAGGAGTGTGCCCGCGGGCACTACCGAGACAGCCGAGGCTCCTTCTTGGGCCGATGCCTCCCGTGTGACTGCAATGGCCACTCGGACGAGTGCCAGGACGAGACGGGCGTCTGCATTGTGAGTGCCTACGCCGCGGCGGCCAGCGGCGGCCCTCGGCTGACCGACCGCGGCACGGAGGGCGAGGCCTGGCTTTCCCTGCTCTGCACGACAGCCGCCACCCCCCCCACCCCTCACACCCCTAACCGAATGCTCCTCTTCCAGAGGACGCAAACGGGTTTTGCATCCTTACCCGTACCCGTACCCGGCCGCACCAGGGTCACAAATGGGTACCCGTACCCTACCCGATACCCGGCTACCCGTACCCGGCCGGGTATCGTGTAAGGTACGGGTACCCGATTGCGACCTCTGGGATGAAGCCATGTTGCAGGCGCGGGTGGGTTGATTCTAGGAACTTGAATTGTGAGAAGAGACAAGACGTTGGGAAATGAGTGACAAACGGTTACTCACCAGTGACTCACGGCCTACCCGTACCCGTACCCGGCCGCACCAGGGTCGCAAACGGTTACCCGTACCCGGCCGGATACGGGTAGCCGGGTATCGGGTAGGGTACGGGTATCGGGTACCCGATTGCGACCTCTGACCTCTGCTCCGTCCATAAGGGAAATCAACGCACCTCATACAGCTACGGCAATTGAGAGTAAACTCGTGTCCATTAGTGGCCCTGAGCCATCAGATGAAGGTTCACGATCCTGCGACGAGAGTCAACTTCTCGACGAATTGTCACAAATGAAAGGCCGTGATTCAATTCTTTTTAATCCATACTTTTCTTTGTCTCACTTTTCCTATCGCATTTGTATTGTTCATACGGTTTTGTACAACTCTTAAGCTATATGTGGCATTAAAATTGAATTGGCATGAATGGAAAATAACCGATTTTCATGCATATACACATGATTCAATGCATGTATAATGATAACAATAATATAATTGTATATACCGTCATTCAAAAAATAAATCGATGAATTGATGCACCATTACTTGTTTGGAAAACAGCACAGCCTAGATTGACATCCTGATGAATTGGCTAAATCGCCGCTTAGTGAATTGCCTCGTTTGTTACTTGTGGAGACATTTGCTAAAAATTTGCTAAAAGAAAATCAGATGAAGAGGGGCATTTGTCCGCAACGTAAATCATTGCCTCATATCAGTCGGAAGTCTGTCCTGCCACCAACAGAGGCTGAGAAGCGAATGCCCACTTGTAGAGAAATAATCTGTTCCTGCACGCACGATCGCACGTCTGTATCGTGATGGTAAGAGCCGGTTTTATCCGTCGAATCGCTGCATTGTTGCACGCCTAGTGGCCCTGCCGCGCGTGCACGTTTATGTGTGTGTGTGTGTACGTCCTGGCCTGTCTGACACACGCGCAACGCCGTGCTGCGCTGTGTTATTTTGCGTGCGAGCAGCACTGCGATCACAACACGCGCGGGGACCACTGCGAGCTGTGCCGGGAAGGCTGCCTGCCCCGCGACGTGCAGGGCGACGAGCCCAGCAGCCAGTGCTTCCCCTGCCCCTGCCCCATGACCATCCGCTCCAACCAGTGAGACTCGCACACGCACGCACGCACACGCACGGTGACACACAGACACACACCAACCAGTGAGACTCGCGCACGCACACACATGCACGCACGCACGCACGGTGACACACAGACACACACCAACCAGTGAGACTCGCGCACGCACACGCACGCACGGTGACACACAGACACACACCAACTAGTGAGACTCGCGCACACACACGCACACGCACGCACGGTGACACACAGACACACACCAACCAGTGAGACTCGCGCACGCACACGCACACGCACGCACGGTGACACACAGACACACACCAACTAGTGAGACTTGCGCACACACACACACACCAACCGGTGACACACACGCACAAAGTCTGTCGGGCGTGGTGCTGGCCACCCACCCCCTCGTGTGCCATGACGGCCCTTCATAGGTGCTCGCTAACAGCACGTGCTGATCTACGTTGCTATCCCGTCAAGGAGCATAAACCATCAGGCAAACTCCGGCCATCCATGCAGCGGCTTTTGGCTAACCGTCGAACAAAGATGGTGACTGCATCGCATGCTCTCAGATGCGCTCCTGCGGAAGCCACTGGAGATGTGCACCTTTAAATCTAAATGGAAAACTCATTTCATTAGAACTGCTTTTTATGCTTAGTTTGTTCTAGATTTGAAGCTTTCGTGACGGCAAGGATTCATACTCTTAGGTTTTTTCTGTAAAGTCACGGAGGTAAAAATAATAGGTAAAAAAAAAATGCCCACTTCAGCATTTGTTTCTTGCTGTGGTTGTGCCACCTGATGACGGACGCAGGTGTTGCGCCTGAAACGTCGTGATTTATTATTTTATTTATATTATTTCTATTATGTTATTATTTATTTGTATTAGTTATTTTTACCTACGTGACTTTACCGGTTGGCTACGTACGGTGCGAAACAAGCTCAACGTGCATACATACATACATACTTGCCCCAACATTCTGCTGATGCTATAATGGTGATCATTTGTCTTTGTACGTACACACAGCTTTGCCATCGGCTGCGTGCAGAAGCCAGAGGGCCTGGAGTGTCTGTGCCGGGAGGGCTACGAGGGCAAGAACTGTGAGAGGTGGGCTCATTGGCTGTGGTTCACTCGACGCGAGCCTGACGTCAGCCTTCGTACCATCGCCACTTTACGCTGAGCCCAAACAAAACGCGACGCCGGCAACAAAAGGCACCACGGTGGCTCGGAGATGTTAACTACCTCGCCTGGTATACAGGAGGTCGTGGGTTCGATCCTAACCCTGATGATGCCTGCTGTGTATTTTGAGTTGGCGTGTCTCTCTCTTTCTCAACATCATCACGGTGGCTAGGAGATGTTAACTACCTCGCCTGGTATAGAGGAGGTCGTGGGTTCGATCCCAACCCTGACGATGCCTGCTGTGTATTTAGAGTTTGCGTGTCTCTCTCTCTCTCTCATCATCGTCACGGTGGCTAGGAGATGTTAACTACCTCGCCTGGTATACAGGAGTTCGTGGGTTCGATGCCAACCCTGACACCTGCCGTATATATGGAGATTCTTCTCCGGGTCCTCTGCTTTTTTCCCTCCACATTTAGAATCAACATCGTGCGTTTAGAGTATTTGACTGCTATACATTTCCATACGATGATATGCTACTTTGTTGAACTATCATTTGTGACCAGGTAGCTTCTGGAAAAAAAAACTGTTAAACAGCTCAGTGGGCCTTACCTGGTAACATTAAACAAATATTATTTAATTTAGTTTCAGCAGGGCGGAACTTTGTCCCAGATTTACGGTCTGACAGAATAGCCGTGACACAACACCTCATGATTCGCTTCGCTGTTGTTGGTTTGAAAAAAAAATCTGAAAAAACATGGGATTCAGGTGGTCAAACAAGCAAAAACAACACGCCCTCATAATATATGCATTGTGTCTTTGAAACTGATTGGCCTACATACTACCATTTGTGACCAGGTCACTTCTGAAGAAGAGCTACACAGCTCATGGTTCAAAATAAAAAATATATAATCTTTGATTGACTGCAGGATTTCATACTCTTAGGTTATTTCGGTAAAGTCACATAGATAGGAAAATATTATTGATTTCTTTTCCTATCTACGTGACTTTACCGAAAGAACCTAGAGTATAAAAAAGATAGCTTAATAGTTTCGATTTAAAGCTTTCGTGACTGCAGGGATTCATCTTCTTGGTTTTTTCGGTAAAGTCACGTAGAAGGGAAATAATAAAATATTATGTTGTATTTTATTTTATTTTATTATTTCCCTTCTACATGACTTTACCGAAAGAACCAAGAAGATGAGCTTAATAGTTATTTTAAAAAAAAGTTTAATAACTCGTGGCGTCCCAACAGGTGCGCGCCGGGCTACTTCGGCAACCCGATGGTGATCGGCAGCGAGTGCAAGGCCTGCCAGTGCAACGGCAACGCGGCAGACGACAGCGGCAGCCCCGGCGTGCCAGGCGGCTCGTGCGACCCCGTGACCGGCCAGTGCCGCCAGTGCCGGCCCCACACGGCCGGCCCGCGCTGCCAGGACTGCGAGCAGGGTTACTACGGCGATGCCGTCTTCGCCAAGAACTGCACCGGTAGGCGGTGGGCGGCGCCGGCGAAAGCGGGTTTGGCACGGCTCGAGACCGGCGGTTTTTATCGGGCGCGACGGTTGGTTATTTACGGTGCGAAAGAAGTTCGACGCACACGCGTAACGGCGGGTTGGGTGAGATTTCCTGGAGCGACGGTGCGACGACGGTGCGGTGACGGTGCAGTGACGGTGCGGTGACGGTGCGGTGTCTGCCGCGTGTCCGTGCGCAGCTTGCCGCTGCGACAAGTGCGGCATGAAGGGATGCGACGGCAGGAGTGGAAAGTGCATCTGCAAGCGTGGGGTCATGGGTCACTCCTGCAGCACCTGCGAGGTACGAGAGCCAACGTCACGCTCGGCTGGGTGGATGGCTGGAGGCGAACAGACGTGGGAGCATGCAAGTGCAGTACAACTGCCCTTAACCCGATTTTGCATTGTGGTCGCCCATCCAACCAGTCTCCAGGCTCCAACCTGCTTAGCTTCCGAGACCAGGCTTGATTGGGTGACAAGCGCACTCTGCATGCACGTATGAACGATTCTCTCTGTTTGCGTCCATGGTGGTGAGTCGGTCCGTAGGCATGAGTATTTGGTGATCTGAGCCAAGTGTGTGCACGTGCGGGCAGGGGTGGCATCGTGATGAGCGCACAATCTGAGTCCGGCAACCTGAGTTCGATTCCCAGCCGCAGCCAACACCAGCGGCGTATATATCCGAACCGGTCCTGAGCCTCCCCGAGATCGACTCAGCCTTAAGTGATAACTTACAACGGAGTGTAAACATCCGGCATTTGTGCTGGCCAAACCACCCTCTCGTGGGCCATGCCGGCACTAACAGGTGATCCCTCGCAGCACTCGTCAAGGTCCAAAAACCATCACCACCCGAATTCCGGTCGTCATCCTCGCAGCAGCGGCTTTTGGCTGGCCATCGCATCAGATGCGCTTCTGCGGCCGTCTGGAATGCTCTTTCTTCCGATATTAGGAAGCCACTGGAGCTACGCACTTTTAAATCGTCCAGATTCAAAACCTCTTTATTTAGAACTGCTTTTTGTGTCGAGTTTGTTCTTTCCCCGCACCTCCGATGAGCCCGGTTGGCTACGTATGGTGCGAAAGAAGTTCAACATACATACAAGAGATAGATGATGATGATGAATGGACTACCACAGCTCGCTCTTAGCAGGCATTAAATGAGTCCCCCGCGCGTCGTGTTAATGGATGAACATTCAACACACGTAATACTTGCCCCAACAGTCTGTATGGCTATGCGACGATCTGAGCGGTGCGTGTGTGTGTGTGTCCCTTGCAGCCGGGCTACTACGGCTTCGACTCGTGCAAGGGCTGCGAGTCGTGCGAGTGCGCCGTCGCTGCCCTGGGCTCGCAGTGCGACCCGCGCTCGGGACGGTGCCAGTGCCCGCCCAGCGTGACGGGCCGGCGCTGCGAGCTCTGCCAGCCCGGCTACTGGAACTACGGCCCCAACGGATGCCAGCGTGAGTGGCGGCGCTGGCACCCAGCCTGGCACAGAAGACGACGTTTAAATACTCTTAGGTTTTTTCGGTAAAGTCACCATGTAGGTAAAAAATAAAATTGAAAGTTAATAAAATTAATCATGGAAATAAAATAAAATAATAAATCACGACGTTTCGGAGGCAACACAAGTCTCCGTCATCAGGTGGGACCGTCACAGCTAAAATTACTGCATCAAGCTGTGACGGAAAAAACCTAAGAGTATGAATCCTTGCAGTCACGAAAGCTTCAAATCTAGAACTAAATTTAAATGTCTCCCCCGTGTAGCCTACACGGACTTGTGGCGGCACGTGCTGTGGGCGAGCACCTAGCGAAGGCCGGCACACGAGGGGGTGGGTGGCCAGCACCACGCCCGGCCGCCTTTGTGTCCCCAGTGGCGATGTTTACACATAGCACCAGGTACTCATTTGACGCTGAGTCGACCTAGGGGAAGGCTCAGGACAGGTTCAGACAATCATCGCTGGTGTTGGCCGTGAGCGGGAATCGAACTCGGGTGACCGGGTTTCGTAGCGCAGCGTAGCGCTCACCGCTGCACTACCCACACACAGAGGCATGGAGGGGTTCACAGCCACGTGCTGGGCTTGCTGTGTAGTGCACAGTGCAGGGCTGCGTTGAGGCCTGCAGAGGGCTGTGCAGCAACGCGCATTGCTACGTCTGCGTCTGCGCTCCCATGCCTGTGCTACACCCCCCCCCCCGCCTTCACCAACACGCGCTGACCAACGCGGGGAAGTATGGTCAAATAACCCCCACGACCGGCACGGAGTGGGCAGGCCCCCCATCCACCAGTGGATTGGCATAAGGGCTGTACCTGTCCGGTGTATGCACAGTGCTGTGTTTGTTTGGTGCCTTAGGATGGATGCCTTAGGATGCGTGCGACGTCAGCAGCACAGCTGAGGTTCCGCAGTGGGGAAAAAACCCACGTGGGTGCCTCGTGAGCCGCACTGGGCTGGCTCTGCCCAGCGATGCGTGTCACGTGTGTCCGTGCATGTGTGTTTGCGTGCGCGCATTTGCGTGTGTGGGCAGCGGAGGCGTAGCGGTTAGTGTGCCGCACTGCAACCCCGACGACCCGGGTTCGGTTCCCGCTCACGGTCAACAGCGGTGACGATTATCTGAACCGGTGCTGGGTCTCCCTTAGGTCGACTCAGTACCTACAAATGAGTACCTGGTGCGGTGTGTAAAAACATCGTCACTGTGGAGACAAAGGCGGCCGGGCGTGGCGCTGGCCCACCCACCCCCTCGTGTGCCGTGCCGGCCTTCATACGCACGTTGAACTTCTTTCGCACCGTACGTAGCCAACCGTGCTAATCGGAGGTGCTCACCAACAGCCCTTGCCCCAACAATTCTATCGAGGCTACACAGGGGATCTTTGTCTTCGTTGTTGTGTGCGACACGCAGGCTGCGAGTGCACGACGGGCTCGTGCGACCCGCATACGGGACGGTGCAGCTGCAAGGGCGGCGTGAGTGGCGAGCAGTGCGATCAGTGCAGCAGCCCTCTGGAAGTGCCGGTGCTCACAGCGGACGGCACCATGCAGTGCGACAGTAAGGAGGCCGTGGGTGGCATTGCACCCACCCTGATGCGTTAGAATTCTCTCCCACGTGTTTGACCGCACGGCCCGTTGCATCCCTCTCCTCCTCAGGACCTCACCGAGGACTTTCCGAACCGCATTCTCCCCAATTTTCCCAACTTATCACGCTGCCACTTTTCACTCTTAAGGATCTAAAACGTGATTAATACAGGGCCACTCACGCAAGGCCCCACAGCGCTTTACACAGAATAACCCGACCCTTATCAAACGCTTAGCGGGTAATACTGAATAAAAACCTTAACAAAGAAAATTAATTGGAATTCAAAAGAATAAACGCAATGCAAAAGGCGCATAATATACACAGGCGGGTGTGTATGTGAAAACAAACATGATTTACGACGGAACCTTAAAGACTCGACTTTCTGGGACTCCCTAAAGACCTGGGGAAGAGTGTTCTACGGGCTTCTCTGCAGATTATCACCTCTCTCCCCTCTTCCCCTGGTTGCTAATTAAAACCATTAACTCGCGTTGCAGTACATTCTGCATTCACCACGGTTAACATCGCTGGGGGAATCTCTCAACCGGTCCGGAACCCTCTTCTACATCGACTCGGCCTTAAACGAGTACCCGCCATTTTGTGTAAACTTCAGCCCTGGGGAGACAAAGGCAGCCGGGTGAGGTTCCGGCCACAAAATTCCTTCCCTCCATGCACCCTTTCCGGCCTCGATAGGTCCTCGCTAAACGCCACTTTTTCCCACACCTCCGATCGACGCGGTTGGCTACGTACGGCCTGACAGCGGTTCACCATAACCGCGCAGCACATGACAGCGCTCGCTCCGACATTTGGTTAAAGGTGACGCGGGGGGACGCGTGTCGCCCCTTTCTCTGCGCGCGTGCCACAGTGTGCGACGGCTGCGTGCTCACCCTGCTCAACGACATGGACGGCGCCGGCAAGTCGCTGTCCGACATCAAGAGCATCCTCAAGGGCGTGAGCATCAGCACCGTCACGACCGTGCGCCTCAACAAGCTCAACTCCTCCCTCCTGCAGGCCCAGGTAGGGCGGCCACGACGTGCGGTGTGTCGTCATCGGCATCATCACAGTCGGCGTCGGCCGTGACCGATCCACTGCTGGGTGAAGGGTTTTCCCCCGAGCCGTCTATAAAGCTCCACGTGGTGATAAGCCGCTTCGTGGAGCTATTGGACTTTGTTGTTGTCAGGATAAAAGTATTAAAAATAAGAATAGGTTTTACCCTTTCTGGCAATGAAACAGATGTTAAGATGTTAAAACACCAAATAGATAACTTTTGCAAGGAATCATGTCTGCATTTACCACACTTACTTATGGTCAAATATGCAAACAAACATGCTCTGGTAATATATGCGTTTACTTTGAAACTGATTGGCCTCCATAGTATTATTTTTGTCCAGGTTGAAAAAGAGCTCTATTGTATAGCTCAGTGAGCCTTACTTGGTAAAATAAATCATTGTTTAGTTTGAATACACCCATCTTAATTGAAAGAGCAGTCTGTGCCGGATCAACGCGTTATGTATCTCGTTACTCCAATGCAGAAAGACCTGTCGCGCTACAAGAAGTCCGTCACCGATCAGAAGAAGAAGGTGGACGTGATGGAGACCGACACAATGGACTTCCAGATGGACATCAACGCCCTGAAGGAGCAGGTAACACCGATCGTCCCACCCAATCCGTCGGGATAAACTTAAGAAGTCACTCGCGAACATGCGAAACTCGCCCATCGCGAGTGTTTACTTGCGTACGTTTGTTTGACTCGACCCTGACCGTCGGGCGGGTGGGGATGTTGCCCGCCGCCAGGTGGACAGCGGCGCGCGGCGCGTGAAGGCCCTGGAGGCGTCGCTCGAGCGCACGCACAAGCGCGGCGGCAGCGTCAGCAAGACCGTGGACAGCGTCGTGCGCTTCATCCAGGGTGGGTTCCGCAACCGCCGCCCTCGCCCCGCCCGCGAGTCGTTGACCCGTGCCGAGAGATGCGGCCGTCCGCTCCCGGTTGGCTGCGGTCTGCGGGGGGGGGTGCCGGGCGGTGCGCAGGCGGCGCAACTGCACAACCCAGGGCTCGCGGAGCCGGACAGGCACAGAAAGGGAAATGCCGGACATGGGGACTCATTTTATTAATTGCGCCACGATGAAATTGAGGGCATAAAAATACAAGGGCCTTAATATCCTATGGGTTGATCCCATGCCTTTTGGCTAGCCGTCGCAGCGGCTTTTGGCTGGCTATCGAACAAAGATGCTCACTGCGTCACACTCTTTCAGATGCACTTCTGCGGCCGTCTGGAACGCTCTTCTTTACGATATTAGGAAGCCACTGGAGCTATGCACTTTCAGATCTCGATTGAAAACTCATTTGTTTAAATCCGATTTTTGTGTTTAGTTTGTTGTCCTTCTCCCGCACCTCCGATTAGCGCTGTTGGCTATGTAGAGTGCGAAAGAAGTTCAACATACATACATGCGATTGTCCTAAGAGTCGTAAGGCATTGTTGATGCGTGTGGTTGTTGATGTTGTGAGTTCCACCATTAGTTTTGTGCTGCTGCTGCTGCTGTGCTTTCACTCATGGGCACTCTCCTGAACCTTCCACGCTAGACTCAAAACACCCGCGCTGCGTAGGATATTAAGGCACTTATACACACCCTGCTCCCGATATTAACGATTCCTGATTCCCCCCTGAATCCCCCATTGCTCATGCCCCTCCCCATGCAGAGTTGATCTCGAAGGCCGGTGCAGGGCCCAGCGGGCTGCCTCTGCCTGCCGAGGAGTTCCAGCGGAAGCTGGCGGAGGCCGAGTCGCTCGTGCGGGAGATGAGGAACAGGAATTTTGACAAGATGCAAGACGTGGCCGACGAAGAGAAGCGGCTTGCGGAGGATTGTAAGTCACGACGCCAGATGTCACCGCACCAGATGTGATGGCACCGGATGTTACCACACCGGATTTCATCGCGCCAGATGTGACCCCACCAGATGTGACCGCACCAGATGTCACCGCACCAGATGTTACCACACCAGATGTGGTGGCACCAGATGTGACCGCACCAGATTTGACTTCACCAGATTTGACCGCACCAGATTTGACCGCACCAGATGTGACGGCTTCATATGTGACTGTACTAGGGCTAAACTGAATATTTTCTGGGTCGCTGGTAGACCGGAGTAGGCACATGTTGAGCAACCACAACCATGTATGTATGTTGAACTTCTCTCGCACTATACATAGCCAACCGTGCGATTTTGGTGCTGTGGGAAAGAGAGGCTATGCTGAGCATGATGTGCTGAGTGTTGTGTTTGTTTAAGGACGCAAGCCCTTTGTCCATTACAGACTTCCTGGCCCATTAAACAGATGCTGCTGCTGCTCTTCCACCACCCTGCCTGCTGCTATCAGTTTACCATCCACAAACACCACAGTGGGGGCCATTAATAAAAATCAACGAACGATATTTCACATTCATATTGAAAACTACGTTTTTCAATTAGACATTTTTTTTCTCCCGAAACTATATTTTCACTTTAACGCTATTTTATCTGACTCTGGCCAACTCCATCACTATATATTCGCCTGAGAGTTAAGGCTTCAAAAGGTTTTAACTACCTCGCCTGGTATACAGGAGGTCATGGATTTGATCCCGACCTTGACGCCTGTATATTTGGAGTTTGCATGTTCTCCCAGTGGTGGTGTGGATTTTTCACCAGGTCCTCCAAATTTATAATCAACACGCGTTTAGAGTATTCGACTGCTATAAATTTCCACACGATAAGTCACTTCGTTGCAGCTATCATTTGTGGCCAGGTCACTTCTGAAAAAGAGCTACATAGCTCAGTGGGCCTTTCCCCGCACCTCTGATTAGCCCCGGCACCTCCGATCACCACGGTCGGCTGCATATGGTGCGAAAGAAGTTCAACATACATATACTTGATTTAAAAAAATTCATATTAAGTTACGATTTGTTTTGGTCTTCCCATCGCCGCGTGCAGTGATGAGTCGCGTGCGGAAGGAGTTCTCCAAGCCGCTGAAGGACCTGGCGAGCCGGGCCAGCGTGGCGCACGACAACCTGGAGAAGTACGACCGCGTCCTGGCCTGACCTGCTCGAGTCCATCAACGCCGCGCGCAACCTCACCAACCACGCCAACACCCTCAACAAGGCCAACCAGGCCGCCCTAGACCGCAACCAGGTGAGGCCGACGATCGGCGTGCGGTGCTGCTGCTCGCGCAAGCCGGCAAGACGTTCAGATAAGGGGATGGGGGGGGGGGGCGGGCCCTCCCGTTGTTTTGTATTGGGCGGGCCCTCCCGTTGTTTTGTATTGGGGGAATTTTGACCGTGAAAAAGTCACCGTCGTCGTTGTCGTCTCCGGCGGCGTCGTTATTGTCGCGAGCGTGCACTGTGATGGCACGCGCGTGTAACCGCCGCGGCCGCCCCCGTGTCTTGCGAGCAGCAAAAGGTGAAGGACGTGAGGCAGGCGGCGGGCGAGGCGAACAAGTCCCTCTCCGACGCTGAGAACGTGCTCGGCCAGGCCTACCAGATGATTCAGCTGCTGGAGGCGTCCCGAGTGGTGGGTCACCCGCGCCGCTGCCGCGCCAGCGAGGACGCAGATGGCGTGCCGATCGAGTTGCAGTGCGTCGCGGAATACCGTTGCCGCGGCAACAATGACCGGAAACCGCCGTTCGACGGACACGAAATTAGAAAGAGTTGGCAGGCCAAAAATATAGCTCCTCTTTATTGGCGCGGTTGTTGCGGCTAAGTTGCTTGCAGGGACCGATAAGTATTGTGTCTTTTAGCGAGTCGCCGTGGGCTCGATGAAACGAAGGAAATTGCGTTCGTGGGTGGCACGAACCCAGTGCCGCTAAACCGCTCTGCCCCGCCGCGTTCTCCCCCCTCAGGCGAGCGTTTGTGCCCCCCCCCCCGTCCCTGCCCTCCCGTGCGCAGGAGTATGAGAAGCTGTCGGCCGAGGTGGATGGAGCCAAGAACCTACTCCGGGACAAGGTGGAGAAGATGGCGGAGGGCGCGGCACAGGAGCCGTTGGTCCGGCGAGCGGAGGAGCATGCCAAGCGCCTGCAGGAGCTCGCCGACAACCTCAAGCGGTGCGGTTTTTTTGTTTTACCATCTCACGGTTGCTGAAGTCTAGGGCCAAAAGTCCAAGTTCCCATTCGGCCAGCAGAACAACACAATCGTAGATGGGATAGTTAAGCGTTGATACGCTCCTTGTATTTGGTTCGTTGTCCTTCCCTCGCACCCACAATTAGCATGGTTGGCTACGTACGGTGTGAAAGAAGTTCAACATTCATGCATACAGATAAGAGATGGTGGGAGGGAGTCCCAGACTTGAGCGGTGTGAGGGTCAAGAAGTGGGAAGAGAAGTGTTTTGACCTGCAGTGTGGTGGTGGTGTTGCCAGGGCATCTAGGCAAGCCTCCACCTGTACACGCAGTTACATGTCCCTTCGTGCTCGTCCCCAGGCTGCTCAAGGACATCGACCAGAACGAGTACATCCAGAAGGCCATCCTGGCGTCCAAGGCCTACGAGGACATCATCAAGGCCCTGAAGGAGACGGAGGAGGCTGCCGACCAAGCGCTGCAGGCTGCACTGAAGGCCGAGCAGGTCAGCGCGTTGTGTCCGTGGTGAATCAGTGCGTTCACAACGCATTCTCGCGACTTTGTGGGGCTGCCTGGTGGACAGCAGGGCACAGTGCGACCTCGTCCATAGTTTCGAGTTAAAGCTTTCGTGACTGCAGGGATTCATCTTCTTGGTTTTTTCGGTAAAGTCACGTAGAAGGGAAATAATAAAATAAAATAAAACATAATAAAATAATTCTCACGACGTTTCGGCTACAACGCAAGCAGCCGTCTTCAGGTGAAGAATGAAACACTGTTCCATTCTTCACCTGAAGACGGCTGCTTGCGTTGTAGCCGAAACGTCGTGAGAATTATTTTATTATGTTTTATTTTTATTATTTTATTATTTCCCTTCTACGTGACTTTACCGAAAGAACCAAGAAGATCGTCCATAGTTGTAATGTACTTCTTTGCTCCCTCGTCTTGCTTCCATGTCCTTTTCCCTCCTGCCTGTACTGACCAGCGTGCTGGACTGAGAGGATGACAACAAATATTTGTCTTGTTTTATCGTCACCGAGGTGATAGGTTTTCACTGCTATGCCGTTATTTATGTTTGCTTTATATATCCTGCACCCGAGTTGGATGTATTTATGGTAGGTCTGGGCTGAGAAATCATGACATAAGAAAGGTCACTGCCCCAAAATGTCGCCTGTTTTTTATATATATATATTTTTTAAAGACCACACAGTGTTATATTGAAGAACGTGTTGAGTTTTATTTGCTGTTAGGAATCCTGTATGAGTGGACCCTGTTGGTTCAGTGTCAGCTGTACAATGAAATCTAGCAAAAGGAAGGAAGCAGTTGCAAGTCACAGTGGTGGCATCCACGGCAGGAGCTGCGGTTACCTTACGAGCAACTCAGCCTACGTGGTCGTGGCACGGGTGGCACCCAGCGAGCCGCCGTTTTCCCAGAAGCCTTTGCAGCCATTGATGTGAAAACCCCTGACCTCCGCTGACCCCTGACCCCTACTGACTCCCATTTGGCAGGACGTACAGCGGGAGAACCTCCCGAAGAAGGCGGCCGATTCGAAGAAGGCGAGCGAGACACTCAAGAAGAAGATCGAGGACAAACAAGGGACGATTAAGGGTGAGCCATTGCGCAAGAAGTTCTCTCTCTATGCGAGCATGCGTAGAGAGAGAGATTCAATAAACTATCAAATTAGAATTCTGCACATGCGATACACGTTTGCACACGTATGTGCGTAGGTACACATACATGCATGCATACACACGTGGTCGTCGTCTTACAGCCGTGCCGATTGCTTGCCCTCCCGTGCACAGACCTGGATAAGAAGCTGCAGGGAATCAAGGACACCGTGAACACGGCTAAGGACAAGCTGAAGGCTCTGACGGATGCCCTGCAGCGCGCCAAGCAGGACTTGGCCATGGTGAACCGAGGTAGGGCACAGCCACCACTTGTCCACAGCCCGATTTTGTACCAAATGATCAGGGAGCACGAACACACGCCCCTTTCTTTACAGGGCGGCGAAATGGATATGCGGATTGAAGCCGTAATAATTAATGTACCTTTGGTGTTCTCAGCATTCTCGTAGCAAGATGCAATCACAAAGGCACTGTGCGTTACAGACGGGTTTAGTCCTCCAGTATGGGGAGATGTTGCTCTGGGGTTTCACCCAATTAGGCCAAATTCGGGAAATCTGGACCATGATGCCATCGAATAACGTCATGGGACCTCTGTTTTCCACTGTGAAGCAGAGACCGCGTATTTATAGAGTTAAAATATCCCGTGGTATTAACCAGGGCAGCTTCAGGGTTCGACCTGCGAACCTCTGCAATGCACGTACCGCTTGGCCGTGTGCAAAGAATTGTTTGATAAGAGGTGCGTAATGGAATCCCATTGGGGCACACAGCAGCCATTCAGCAAATGTATAACAACAGGAAGTGGCCCGGTGGCTCAGAGGTCAGATCGCTGACCTCACACCGCCGAGATCTTGGGTTCTAATCCAGGCAGCCACCTCTGATTAAACCTACTTCTCAAGTGTAGTGAGTTGATGGCTTAAGCCCAGTCACCAATGACTACAAAAAACACCATCACATTAAATTTGGTAACGCACCTAATTTGGCTTAACACTAGCCCTAAACATTTTAAAAATATTATTTTAACTTTCAGACTACAACCCTTACTCTCCATAGCAGAGTGGGTTTCACAATGATGCCCTCTTGTGGTGTGGACCAGAGAACACTTGAAAGGAACTCAGAGGTACCTTTGTGATATCCGCATCCATGGGTTTGCAAGTGCTCCAAATTAAAACTTGGTTTCATGACAAACAGGGAGAGGTGTCCAGATATTTGTTCCAAACGAACCAACCGACGTGCGTTCGTCTCGCAGGCAACATTGACGAGGTGCTCCGCAAGGCCAAGGAGGACGCGCAGGCCGCGGGAGACCTGGCCATGAGCACGGAGAACGAGGCCAACAGCATCCTCGAGGAGGCGAAGAAGCTGGCCGAGAAGATAAAAAGCGGCGCCGTCGACAGCCAGGGCTTCCAGCTCGCTTTCATCGAGGCCACCAAGAAGGGTGAGTCGCCGCGGCGCGGCCGGGTTGAGCCGGGCGCTGCCCCCCCGAGGCGATTTTTAGGGCAGTCGTCAACGGCGATGGTCGCCCAGTGAAAGTCGCTTCGAAATCTAAACAAATCTGGCCGCGGGTCTCCCTCGCGGGAAAACTGGGACATGAACTTCCAGTGAGATCGCATCCATAGATAGAGAGAGAGAGAGTTATACTGGATGTGGTGTCGTTAGTGGCGAAACATTTTACGGGCCGCCGACTGGGACTGACCCGGCTGAATGGAGCCTTGATTACAGAATCCTCCCCGACCTGGAATCTCGAGCCGCCGCTGGGGCGGCGACGTGAGCCAGCACAGTGTAGGTCAAAGGTAAAGGTAAAAGCTCAGCCCTGCAATTTTCCTCTCTCACGCCTGCTAGAGAGCCCCCTACGAAGCCCCTTCCAGGGGGTATTTTGGCCTACTCTTTCACCCTGGCTACGCATCATGAAGGTGGGAGCACCCACGCTTGATCCTTCCACGTGCAACCTGTAACTCGACGGACAAATAAGTCGACACGTGTTTCAAGAAAACTGGCTTAACAATAGTGTATACACATAACACGTAGAGAGTCCAGAGAGCACACAGAGGGGTCTGAGATATTAAGGCGATGACCTCTCCATGTGACGTTTAGAAAGTCCATTTCCCAAAACATCGGCTATTTAATTATCTTCCCTGTTGTTGTCATAGTGTTATTGACGAATGTATTGAGTTTATTATTATTATTGTTCCTGCTCGTGCACCAGTGCCAACTCAGCAGAATCACCAAATCTTTCGTCAACAAACTGTGGCTTACCCTCGTAATGCTGTTGGGTGGACAGGGAGGCGAAGGGCATTTTTAAGAAACTTGCGCCATTGTTTCAACTACCGCTGCCGGGAGATCGAACCGGTGACCGAGACACCGCCGCAGTGTCCGATGTTCCGTTCGAGTTGATGTCAACGTTTCTGAGGAAGCCGCTGGAGCTACACACTTTTAAATCATCTGCATTGATGACTCATTTATTTTCAAACCGCTTTTAGCATTTAGTTTGTTGTCCTTCCCCCACACCTTCGATTAGCACAGTTGGCTACGTACGGTGCGAAAGAAGTTCAACATACATACACTACACTATACAATACAGTGCACAATACACTACATACTACACTATACACAGCACTCATACACACTACACCACCTATACACTACACCACCATGCTAAATTGAAAACTCATTTCTTGAGAACTGCTTTTTGGGTTCAGCTTGTTGTCATTCCCGCGCAGCTCCTATAAGCGCTGATGCCTGCGTACGGTATGCAAAAGAAATTCAACACACACACACACACGCACACGTACAACATCCCTCGGTGTTCAGTCGTCATCGCTGCGGTCGCCGTCGGTGGAATCTTCGGCCTTGCTTTGTCCGCAGTGAATGACCTGACGGACCTGGTGCCCGAGCTCCTGAAGAAGCTGGCCGAGCTGGAGGGCAAGAACATCAGCGCGGACGTCGCCGGGAATCTGAGCAACATTCGGGAGATCATCGAGGCGGCGCGGCACTCGGCCAGCCTGGTGAGTGCGGCGCGAGAACGTTTTGGCCTCGCAGTTGGCGAGCGCCTGTGAAGGTAGGACAGGGCACAGGACGGGGCTCAGTGTGGCCAGCACCGTAACCCGGGCTCGCCTCTGTCTTGGAAAACAGCTGATTTCTACGCTTTGCATCAGGTGCTTGTTTTTCAGGCTGAGTTGATACAGGGGAGGCCCAGGACGTGTTCAGATACCATTTGCCACTCGGGGAATGCCGTGAGCTGAGTGTCAAACCCGGGTTCTGGGATTGTAACACAGTTCGTGAAATGCTATGGACCACAAATAACCCCCCCGTATAGCCTTATGCCGGCACGGCACACGAGGGGATGGATGACCAACACCACGCCTGGCCACCTTTGTCTTTCCAGTGTTTATACACCACACAAGGTACTCATTTGAGGCTGAGTAAACCTAGGGGAGGCCCAAGACTGGTTCACATAATCGTCATTGGTGTTGACAAGCGGGACAGGCAGCCTGGAGGCAGTGAACCGGCACGAAAATCTATACCCCCCCCTCCAAGCTCTGCGGTCCTCTATATATGAAGTTGTGATTGGTCCATGAATGAGTGTTTAGGTGTTTTACTAGAGAGGTTTTGAACCGCTGGGCTCCGCGTGCATCCACAGGCGAAGGTGCCGATGAAGTTCAACGGCACTTCTGGGGTGAATGTGCGGCTCGGGTCGCCCCTCGAGGAGCTACGGCCCTACACCTCGGTGGCGCTCTACCTCCTGGACGCGGATCCGGCGCGCGGGGACGACACCACTGGTGACGACAGCCGCTTCCTCTTTTACCTCGGCAAAAAAACGGTGAGGCTCAAACACACCCAGCACCGCACACGCCACACGCACCGCACACACCGCACAGCACGCCACACACTGCACACACCACATGCACCGCACAGCACGCCACACACCGCATGCACCACACACCGCACGCACCGCACACACCGCACACACCGCACAGCACTCCACACATCGCACAGCACGCCACACACCGCATGCACCGCACAGTGCACCACACACTGAACGCACCGCACACACCGCACACACCGCACAGCACTCCACACATCGCACAGCACGCCACACACCGCATGCACCGCACAGTGCACCACACACCGAACGCACCGCACACACCGCACACACCGCACAGCACTCCACACATCGCACAGCACGCGACACACCGCACGCACCGCACACACCGCACACACTGCACACACCACATGCACCGCACGGCACGCCACACACCGCATGCACCGCACAGTGCACCACACACCGAACGCACCGCACACACCGCACGCGCCGCACAGCACGCCACACACCGCACACACTGGTGCGGAGCATCGTGGTTTCCCCTGGTTCATTCCGTGTTGTGTATTCACCATATAGCGCTGGACTACTGGGAGGCCGTGTGACTGACAGGATGTCCCATAGCGCGGCACGGCCTTAAGAGCCCTGGTCTCTGACGTCGCGATCTCTTTTGAATCCACAGGATGGAGGTCGCAGAAAGCGCCAGGCGGTGAGTGTCCCGTCTTCCCATCAGCCATAGGCACCTTCACTGCACTGCGGCCGGCACTCGTTGAGAGGACAGCTCGCTGTTTGCCCAACTCAGCGCATATTGACGACTTGTGTCATGCTTGTTAAACACGTTATTGTACATTTTGTCTCATTGATGTTGTCTTTTTTTGTTCTATACCACGTTTGCATTGTGTGTTGTCGGCATATGTAAGCAGAAGCCCCATTTTCTCTCTCGACATATAAATTGGAATTTGTCCATCGACCAAATTGGCTTTCCAGATGTTATCCATCAGCAGTTGTTTGAGCGAGCAAACTCTGGACCAGTTTCGGCTTTCTCATTGACAAAGCCAGGCTGCTGGTTAATACTGGTTAATATCATTCCAGAAGGCCAAGAGACCGATGCACTAAATAATATTCAATAAACGGCTGAGGCAGAAATTTTATTTCATGAAAAAAGATAAAAATACCATTCAGTGGGTTTGGCCTTGTCGGTGCATAAAAATATCAGACTTGGCAAACACAATTTCACGCGGAATGCAGACACAATCTCACGGGCAATAAGGAAATACACTTCTGATCTCGTGAACTAAGGGAAAAAATTTGACAGGAGAAAAATAGGAAACCCAGACAAACCTGGGCTTTTAGACATCACTAAATGGACTGAGGAATATCCAACATCATACTACAGCGCACATGATAAAATAAAATAAAATCAGTAGAGGATGACCCCAAATAAATTGAATTACAAATGCAATCACGCGCGTGGATAAGCCGACACCAGCACCTGACCAAGATCGCGACGGACAGGCACTCGTAGAGACAGAGAGACAGAGGTAACAGCCGAGGCGTCTTTGCTGTTCCCACGACAGTTGCGCTTCAGAGATAGATGATGATGAATATACTACCACAGCTCACTGTTAGAAGGCATTCAATGAGTTCCCCATGCGTCGTGTTAGTGGATGAACACTCTGCTGTGTGTATCACCTTGCTGGTCTCGCCAAGGAGCAAACACCATCACGCAAACTCCGGTCATCTTCACAGCAGCGGCTTTTGGCTAACCATCGAACGAACACCGTCACTGCATCGCGCGCTTTAAGATGCGCTTCTGCGGCCGTCTGGAATGCTCTTCCTTCCGATATTATGAAGCCACTGGGAGCTATGCACTTTTAAATCATCTCGATTGAAAAGTCATTTCTTGAGAACTGCTTTTTGTGTTTAGATTATTGTCCCTATCCCACATCTTCGATCAGCACGGTTGGCTACATCCTGTGCAGAAGAAGTTCAACACATATATATATAAGAGATAGATGATGAATGGACTATCACAGCTCGCTCTTAGCATTAATTAAATTAATTCCCCGTGCATCGTGGTAATGGATGAACACTCTGCTGTGCGTGTCTTTGCGTTTCTCAGGATTTGGGTGACTACATAGGAGCCTTCCTGGAGAAGAAGAAGGTGGTGTTTGTGTACAACTTGGGCATCGGTGACACCTTCCTACGGTTCCCCGAGCCCGACGCCATCATCAACCCTAAGGCTTTCACCTACGTGAGATTCGAGCGGTGAGTGGCGTGCGAGCACACTCGCAGTCACGCTGTACACAGCCAGGTTCCTTCTGAAAAAGAGCTCCATCGTTCAGTGGGCCTTACCTGGTAAAATACAAAAAATGTGTTTAATAGTTTAGACATAGTTTTAATAAAGTAGGCCAAATTACGCTACAGGAGGCCATTTTGCCAGTGAGCAGTTAATTTCAGGGCTGGACCCTCGTGATAACCTGCCATTGACATGTGGACTCCTCTGGCCCCCCTCTTCCGTGACCTGATGTAGGATCTATGAGCACGCCCAGGCAGAGTTTCGTCAAGACAAGCGGATATTCAAGACCATGTCTGTCGCTAGCCGGAAGGACTACCTGCTGGACCTGGACCCGGCCAACACCGTGCTGTATGTGGGCGGTGCTCCTGCTGGTGCTCAGGTAACAACAACAACCATAATAATACTCTTTGATTCTTTCGGTAAAGTCACGTAGGTATAAAATAAAATAAATCACGACGTTTCAGGGTGCAACACAAGCGTCCATCATCAGGTGGAAAAGCATGGTCGGCTGCTGAGGCAGACTGTTTTAAAAGGTTTGAAATGGGTGTAGCTCAAGGGTTATAAAGAAGTGGCCGGGGCTAGTGATGTTTATGTGAGGAATTAGCATGTAACTGTAAGATAGGAGAGCGGCCTCCTAAACGAGGGCACAGAAGTGGCTGTTAATGTGAGAGTATGGATTCCTGCAGTCACCAAAGCTTCAAATTCAAGATTGAACCATAATAATGACTCAAAATGATATCCTGCTCAAATGAGCACCACAGCTGGAATAAAATTGAACAAAAGACAAAAACATTTTTTAATCAAATTACATGTAAAAAATTGTTTTTCTCATATTATGTCTACAATTGCCTGTGGCCTACACACATTCCAAACGAAGGCTGAGAATGTTTTTGTTCCCCTTTGTGCAGCTGCCCGCGGCCTTGTCTCTGCCGAACTTTGTGGGGAACCTGGAGCTGGCCGCCATTAACGAGAACATAACGAGTCTCTACAACTTCGAGAAGACGTACTTCATGAACACCGTCACCGATAATCCAGCCAAGCGGTAAGTGGTTCCACTTGGCAGTGCCGCGGTTAGCGGGCTGCGCTACGAACCCGGCGACCCGAGTTCAATTCCCACTCATGGCCAACACCGGTGACGATTATCTGAACCGGTCCTGGGCCTCCTCTAGGTCAACTCAGCCTCAAATGAGTACCAGGTACGATGTGTAAACATTGCCACTCAGGAGCCAAAGGCGTGGTGCTGGCCACCCACCCCCTCGTGTGCCGTGCCAGCCTTCATAGGTGCTCGCGAACAGCACTTGGCCCAACAATCTGTTAAGGCTATACAGGGGATCTTTATATTCGCGGCGTTACCTGTTTACTGCAGGCTTAGTGACGCGTCCGTCAAACTGGGCACGAAACACAGACTGCTCCCTACTCATAGACTGACTGTGCCCCTGACAGCTTTGCCATCTGGGCGGCCGTCTCTGGCGCGCACCCCTAATGCCAGGCCCGAGTGGACGGTCTGTAAGCGAGTGCTTCCAGGCGGTGACGTGGCCCAGCGACGGCACATTCACCGCTTAACACAGGGGGTTCGCGGTTCAAGCACATCGGCCGCCTTGGTTAACACTGCGGGCGTGCTAGCCATAGAGTGCACGCCCACCGTTTTGCAGTGAATGTTAAAGACCCCAAGATTTTTTTTTTCTCCCGAAAATGAATAGAGATGTATTTTCTGGCACCACGGTTCGAATTTGATGAATTACTCATAAACTGCTTGTTTGGTAAACATGCAACATCGCCCCCATAGGCTGGCAGACTGAACCCTACTGGCTGACCGGTGCTGCGTTTACCTCGTCTCACACAGAGACAGCTGCCACTGGGGGGTCCCCTGCCGCAGTGCACCTTGAGATTAATTGGACGGGAGGCACGGTGTGAATATTAAGCAACGACGATGATGACGATGATGACGATAATGCATTGTGCCACCACACCCCACACTCTCGCACCACAGCTACAAGGACTCGCCGGAAGTGAACCCACAGACGTACTATTTCGACGGCACTGGGTACGCCGAGGTGCCAGTGGACGCCAGCGGCAGCCGCTACAACTTTGACTTCGACATCCGCACGTCGATGGATGACGGCATCCTGCTCTTCATGGAGAAAGACGTAGGCGAAGATTGTGCTGCGCCCATTTTTTTTGTCGAACAACCACTCCGGCTCGCCTCGCAATCACCCAGCAAGCATGCAACGTTTGCCCAAAACGTTGGCCCAACGTTTTGGGCACAGTGCGAGGAAGAGGCACGGGGGAGGGACGGTGGAGACTGGGAGAGCGTAGAGGGTGGGATGGGAAAGAGCAGTGAGAGGCTAGAGAAGCAAGGTATTGTGGGTCAAGACCGTGGAGGGATTTTTTTGACTTAAAAGTGAACATTTTTAAACGGACAGCGATAGTAGCCAGGGAGCCAGTGGGGATGGGAAAGTAGCGCAGAAGTGTGGGAATTGTGGGGAAGGTTAAAAATGATCCGGGCTGAGGCAATTTGTATCCTTTAGAGAGGAGTGAAGGTTGTAGGCAGGCAGGCTGAGCAGGAGAGAATTGCAGTAGTCAAGGTGAGTGCAAATAAGAGAGTGAACCAGGAGCTTAGCAGCAGAGAGTGAGATGGGGGACGGATTTTGCGAACATTGAAAAGGTGAAAGCGGCGAGTGCGGGCAGTGGCATAGGTGCGGTTGGAGAGGGAAGGGGAGGAGTTGAAGGTGACCCCGAGGTTGCGAGTAAAAGAGACAGAAGGAGTGAGGGAGAAGAGAGGGAATGAGATGGTGGTGGGGAGCGGGGAGAAGGGAAGAAAAGGATTTCAGTGTTAGAAGGATTGATGGAGAGGATGTTGCGTGACATTCAGGATTGGACAGTCGTTAAGCAGGTGGATATGCGGGAGGAAAGGTCCGGGTTAAAGGAAAAGAAAATCTGGGTGTCGTCGGTGAAGAAGTGTTAAAGTTAAATTAAGAAATGACAGCTTCCAGAGGTGAGATATAATGGGAAAAGAGCAAGGCCCGAAGACAGACCCGGAGTGCTCACCAGGGCGGCCATGGGCTTCGAACCACGAAAGCTCCGCATTAAGCTGCAGCTGCCGCTACTCCTTAGCCGCGTTATGAAACAAAGTAGATACGCTCCGCACGTTTCAAAGAACAACACGGTGACTCGAAGCGTTACGAATTTAACTCGTGTCGCGTCCTATTTCTGCCTTTTCTCAGAACAAGTTCATGTGCCTGTCCATCTACAACGGGCAGCTGCATTTCGTCTTTGACTTTGGCGCTGGCCCCGTGGTGCCCAAGTATTCGTCTGTCATCAAGGTCCACCAGAAGGACTACTATGCGGTACGGTGAAACTCAGTGCGAGTGGGGGGGGAAGATTCTCGTCAGCTAACCGGCTAAAAGTTGAAAAGCTCTTCTTGTTTCTTTCGGTAAAGTCACGTAGAAGGGAAGTAATAAAATAATAAAAATAAAACATAATAAAACAATTCTCACGACGTTTCGGCTACAACGCAAGCAGCCGTCTTCAGGTGAAGAATGAGACACTACCAAACTAGGAGCTTATATATAAGCTGCATTGGGGGTTGAAGAGCGCCTTAACAAAAAGAATGTGCATGTGAAGAGGAATTTAGCATATTCATGGAAAATGCGTAGGCGTTGGGCGGGGGGGTGTCAAAGTCATATTATGCCCATGCATTATGCAGGATCAGCAGCAACCAAGGGGGGTGCAGGGATTAGCAGTAACAAAGGAAAGGAATGTTAATGATATGTAGCTGCAGTTACTCAACAACCACGTAGAAAACTAAAGTATAAACTACATAAAAAACTAAAGTATAAACTGCATCGCACCATCAGTATACTTACTATACTCTATAATAAGCTGAGTTACTAACAGCAAGTAATACATTACAATTCTACCTCGTAAAAATTCTATAATATGCTTCCATCTAAACCTTATTCTCTTATATCACACGAGCATATACCGTACTATATACTGCCATAGATAAACCCAACATTAAATTATATACTGTATTGCTGTAAACCAACCTATATCTTATACATTTAATATAACACTATGTATTATTCTACACACCCTAATGTGTATCGAAATGGTTTATTACGTCCTTCCAATGATTGCTGAGCCAGAATCCATCTTCTCGGTTAAAATTGTCTCTGTGTTTGTATATGTGGATCGCCTCATGAACGAATCTCTCATGATAGCCAGATGGCTTGCAGAGAACCTCTGTCTTGGAGAAGTCGATATCATGTGAGCCCACTGAGTTGTAACAGTGATCTGCCACGGCTGAGGTGGCAGATCACTGTTACAACTCAGTGGGCTCACATGATATCGACTTCTCCAAGACAGAGGTTCTCTGCAAGCCATCTGGCTATCATGAGAGATTCGTTCATGAGGCGATCCACATATACAAACACAGAGACAATTTTAACCGAGAAGATGGATTCTGGCTCAGCAATCATTGGAAGGACGTAATAAACCATTTCGATACACATTAGGGTGTGTAGAATAATACATAGTGTTATATTAAATGTATAAGATATAGGTTGGTTTACAGCAATACAGTATATAATTTAATGTTGGGTTTATCTATGGCAGTATATAGTACGGTATATGCTCGTGTGATATAAGAGAATAAGGTTTAGATGGAAGCATATTATAGAATTTTTACGAGGTAGAATTGTAATGTATTACTTGCTGTTAGTAACTCAGCTTATTATAGAGTATAGTAAGTATACTGATGGTGCGATGCAGTTTATACTTTAGTTTTTTATGTAGTTTATACTTTAGTTTTCTACGTGGTTGTTGAGTAACTGCAGCTACATATCATTAACATTCCTTTCCTTTGTTACTGCTAATCCCTGCACCCCCCTTGGTTGCTGCTGATCCTGCATAATGCATGGGCATAATATGACTTTGACACCCCCCCGCCCAACGCCTACGCATTTTCCATGAATATGCTAAATTCCTCTTCACATGCACATTCTTTTTGTTAAGGCGCTCTTCAACCCCCAATGCAGCTTATATATAAGCTCCTAGTTTGGTAGTGTCTCATTCTTCACCTGAAGACGGCTGCTTGCGTTGTAGCCGAAACGTCGTGAGAATTGTTTTATTATGTTTTATTTTTATTATTTTATTACTTCCCTTCTACGTGACTTTACCGAAAGAAACAAGAAGATGAATCCCTGCAGTCACGAAAGCTTTAAATCGAAAAGTTGAAAAGCTGTGATCGAATACTTTTTATGAAATCGATTACCTGATCCAACGTCCTACCTCCCGAAGGCGGGAGGAGACCCCCGCAAGCCACGCTCAGGGACAGGCTACCTTCAAGGGGTGGAGGGGGAGGTCACCGATTTATGACCTCTTTTTTTATGGATCTCCATATTTCCCCATCTTTTGCCTCTTCGGAAGCATTCTTTTGTCTTCCGATGACTCCCTTTATCGGCGCGATCGATCCATTTCTGCCTTTGTCTCACCGTCTCGGCCGCCGGACAGCGCGAGCCGAAAATGGTGGCACGTTGCCTGTGGTCCGGCACGGTCGATGCTGGGGTCGGTGGATCACGTGGATTTGTGAAACTCTCCGAACCCGCTGGGCTGCGAGGTGGCCATGGGAGATGTGGCAATACAGAAAATAGATTCTTGAATCATTGTGCGTACAGCTTTGAGCGTTATCCCCTTGCTTGCTTGCGTGCTGGGTTTTCTCCGAGTTCTCAGGTTTGAAGTGAACACTCGTTAACGGAATTGGCCAAACATCCAAATGCAGGACCCCAGGCTGCTCCGTCACCTTCTCTCCCGGGGCGTTGCACACCCCTTTACAGATCCAGCTCAACGTGTACCAGTCGGTCAGCAAAGTTTCCCTCAACGTGGGGCCCAAGTCTGAGCGGCTATTCTTCGACGTCTTCAGCCCGGAGATCCAGTCCCTGTGGAGCGTGGTGGGGAACACTGCCTACATCGGCGGGGTTCCCAAGGACCGAATCCCAGACAGGTGAGCTCCTGCCTGTGAGGTGGGTTTGATGGGCAGCAGTCAAAAACAATCCTCGTGGCCCGCACTGCATGGGGAGGCCCTCATCCAGAAATTAATCGACAAAGAAGGGCTGTACATGTACAGTACAACGTCACATATCCGACTCTCCAGGGGACCGACGTTGAGGCAGATGTGTGAACTATATTTGTATATTAAAAAAATATATATATGGTTAAACCATGCCGCAAATAGGTTCACGGGCAAAAGTAATGCGCAAACCGCTTTAAATGCGGGAAAAGGCTTCACCGTGGTTTAGAAGAGAACGATTGTGTGCGATGTTGAGAACGTGCTACAGCGCGTGACGAGGTCGGATTTGAGAGCGCTGATAGAACATGACGGATCCGCCACGCGCAAACGTTGCACCGGGTGCGTGGCGGTCCGCTGGCTCGCCGACGGTTGTACTCCGCGTTTGTTCACCGTCGGTCCCGTGCGGCCTTGTCCCCATCCGCAGCATCAAGCAATACCTGCCGGTGCAGACGTCCTACAAGGGCTGTATGAAGGCGCTGAAGGTGATGACCTCGGCTATTGCGCTCAAGCAGATCCCCACGTCGGGCATCATCTACGGCTGCTACGACAACTTCATGGTGAGAACGAGCGCTGCCCCCTCGAGCCTGGCCACTCCGTAATCTCGCCGGGCAGCGGCGGTGGTGGCTACGCTGTGCTCCAGCACTGTGGACGCAGCGGCTAAGGGCAGGCGGCTCATGCACAAATGTTTCGAAACTCCCTTCCTCTGAGCATTGCTGTGCCGTGCCCTGGCTGTCTGGGAGAATGCGGTGCGGCAAATGTGGATTTGCAACTGTTCCATCTGTACGAGATAGAGTGTTGCCTCGTCGCATGCATGGGTTACCTCCAGGTGCTCCAGTTTCCTCCCACATGTAAACACTCATTAATTGGCTGAAAACATATTACTATATATAGCACCGCACCTGGCTACCTTCCCGCTTGTCTGCTGTTGCTCGCGCCTTTGGGTTAAGAGTGAGTGAATTCTGTGCGACGCGTTACAAGTATCTTTTCACACTTCTCGTCTAAGTGAATGGCCATTCCTGACCCCCGTGAATATTGAAATAATTAAGCAGACTCTCATTTCTTCGTGCCATCCTCTACCTACTTGAGCTCAATGAGGTTCTGCCTCCAAGCTAATTCTCAGCACGCGCGTGCCCTCTCCCGATTGTTCTCGGCAGGTTTCCCGTGGTGCAGATTTCACCGGTACAGGTTACCTGTCATTCCAACCCGAAGGTTTCGATGCCACCGACTTTGAGTGCGGGTTGACGTTCAAAACCACGAGTCCCTCCGGCCTCCTGATGGGCTCTGCCGACAGGGTGAGTCCACTTTGCGCGTGCTCACTCCTTCGTTCGTTTATTTTATGTTACTCATGAGACGGGGCACACATGTGGGGAGATGGAGCGATGAAATCGGCTCCCGTGCAGGTTGTTGCCGGCTGGATCGCGGTAGCCGTGAGAGATGGTGGCGACTTGGGAAGGCCTTCATACAGCAGTGATTATATCACGGCTGATGAACGATGATGATGATAATGATGACAACCCTTTGAGACTACAAGTCAATTTTTTTTAGGGATACGTGAGTTCCAGGGTAGTTGCACAACAATTACAATTTTATATGAATTGTCACGATCAAAGCCGGGATGAAGCGCGTTTGTTGCTTGTCGCAGAAGTGCGGTTCAGGTCCAGTGGGGGCTGCCCTGGTTAATACTGCGGATTTATTAACCATAAATATGCGGCCGCCTGATTCACAGTGGACGAGGGAAAAAAAATCCCTCGACATTATTCAGAAAAGAGTTGGCCATGTGTGCCGATGTCACGGTCCAAATGTTGCCACGTATGGAAAATTCCTTGCACATTTGTTCATTGAGTAAAACTACACAGCAATGTCACCCCCTCTTGGCAGACTTTTTATCCGTGAATCATGACAACATTTTAATTCCAAAAGTACTGATTTATACGATTGTGCTTATTATTATTGTCGTGTTGAGCAGGACCTGCAGATCTCCATGGTCGGAGCAGGCATCGTGCAGCTGAAGCTCGGTACCATCACCATACGGAGTGCCTCCAATGGGTTTAGCGATGGCCTGCCCCACTATGTCAAAGTCACACGCCAAGGCAACACGTGAGTGACCCCCAATTCGTTGCTTTCGCCTGATTCCCTTTCACCAGAATAGACGGCCACAGATGCTGCGGGGGAATAATGGTTAACGCACTGGACTAGCAACCCAGAGGTAACTGGTTCAATGTCGTGGCAGGGCCGTTGAAACAATGGTACAGGTTGATTACATTTCCTCCGCCGCCTCCTGTCCGCCCTGCGGTATGAATGTGTGCGCCGCAGTTGGTCGATTGGCAGGTCATGTGCGGTGGGGTGAAGTGTGGGTGCGCCCACATCTTTTAATACGTCTTGCCAAAGTTCCATGACGAGGGGTCTCTAGTACCCCTCCTAGTGGAGGCCTTTTTGGCAGCAGTGGCATCAGTGGTAAATTGCAGGCGTGCACCTTTAACTTTTCCTTCGTCTGCTATCAGTGACATGTGGGCTTAAAATGTTTGAGATTGTGCAGGTTGCAGCCAAATATAACGATTTGTTTAATTCATCACGGGGTTGGAATGTTTGTGCAATGTTTTAACAAACTGACACAGGTCAATAGAGAGTCAACAAACTGCATCTGCATACTGTGTACCAGAGCACTTGTATGTTTGTCTGTTGAACCTCTTTGGCACGTAGACAATCGTGCTAATCGGAGGTGCAGGGGAAGGACAACAAACTAAACACAAAAAGCAGTGAAAAAGAAATGAGTCTTCAATTAAGTAGATTAAAAAGTTGCACCGCTCCGGTGGCTTCCGAATATCGGAAGGAAGAGCGTTCCACCACTGCCGCAGATGCCGAGTGTTCACGTGTGTTCACGTGTGTGCGTTTGCTTGCACGGCGGGGTCCTCGGCGTGGCTGGGTGAACAGGGTTCGAATGGCGGTCGACAACAAGTACGAGCCGGACAAGGAGACGGCGCGGAGAAGGCGGGCGAGCCGCCAGGCCCCTAGGCAGCTCTACTTCCTGGGCGGCTACGCTGAGGCCTCTGCCTCCAGGTTCAACGGCTGCATCGCCAACGTCTACATCCGCCGGTACGTGAGCGGCACTGGCAACAACAAACAACAACTTCGATTCGCATAGCATCTAAGGGCAATCACATCTCAAGATACTTCATGCAAATGAATACAACTGCATTCGGGTGGAAGGGAGATTGGCAGTCAGGTTAGAGAGTAACACTCCGGCACAACCCTGAACAAAGCACCCATGCGCCAGCACCAACAACAATGAGCCTCAGGGAAAGCTGGGGCAGCCGGGGGAGCACCGACAAGTCCCAGGGCATCCACGGGCCCGGGGCCCATTCAAAAAGGATGTTTGAAGGCAATTAAAATAAAAATAAGTGAGGTTAAGTTCCTCAGCATCAACTTCACTACCACCACCACTTACCATTATCGCCATCACCACTACCACCAACAGCAACAACAATCCAAACACAATAACACAGTCACCACCACCAGCATCGAGACGATGCTTACACATGGCACCAAGCAGTCATTTGAAGCTGAGTCGACCGCGGGGAGGCCCCAGGACTGTTTCAGGCAATCGTCATCGATGGTCACCGTGAACGAGAATTGAACTCGGTTCGCTGGGTCCATACCGCAGCCCACTGACCACTGTGCCGCCGCAACCGATGAGCTAAACTCTACTAGGTACGGCCCACTGAGCTATGTAGCTCTTTTTCAGAAGGGACCTCCTGGCCACAAATGATAGCTCAACGAAGTGGCTTATCACGTGGAAATGTTTAGCAGCCAAATTATCTAAATATATGTTTCTAAATGTGGAGGGAAAACCGGGAGAGCTGGAGGAAAATTCACGTGACCACGGGGAGAACACACAAACTACACAACCTCCTGTGTACCAGGCGAGGTAGTTAACATCTCGCCACCACCACTTCCACCAACAACCCAAACCTCGATTTAAAGCTTTCGTGACTGCAGGGATTCATCTTCTTGGTTCTTTCGGTAAAGTCAAGCTCTTTCCCCCCTCCAACCCAGCTTAAAAAGATGCTCCAAGCCTGGGGTTGTCATTCAGACTCTGTCTTCTCGACAGACCTGTTCTTCACCTGAGGACGGCTGCTTGCGTTGTGGCCGAAACGTCGTGAGAATTGTTTTGCTGTGTTTTATTTTTATTATTTTATTACTTCCCTTCTACGTGACTTTACCGAAAGAACCAAGAAGATGAACCCAAACCTCCGCCACCACCGTTCCCCTCAAGGTGCAAAAGTGACCGTGCGTGCGGTGTGTGTGGTGCGTGCGGTGCGTGCAGACCTGGCGAGGAGCACGTGGAGGACCTGCACAACTACGTGGAGAAGCTGGACGCGTCTCTGGACGGCTGCGTGGGCAGCCTGCTGGCAGCGCCGTAATGAGGCACCAGGGGCTCACTACGCAGGGGGCGGCCACTGACCCCTGCCCACACCTCCTGCTCAGGGCTGGGGGGCCTCCAAGGAGGACAGCTCATTCTCACCCCCACCGTGATGGGACCCACGCTTCCAGTCATGGGCAATGCCACCGCTTCACTAGTAGAGGGCAGTGCGTGGTGGGGAGGGGGGGCTGCCTAACTGACTCCATGATCATGAGGGAGGGCGAGGGGGGAGTGGGATGGAGTCAGGGGTGAGTGGGGGGGGCTAACGGCAGGGCTTAGGGAATGCCATAAATGTTGAGTTGGAAAAAAATCGGTGACTGTCCTGTGGGGACACTATAGCTGAGCGGATAGGGCACAGAAACAACACAGTTTAATCCCCGAGTCAGAATCTGGTTTGTTTTTCCCCATCCCCTCGGCTACATTGTCTCAATCGAGCTACTTTGTTTTGTTTTAACATTCTTAAAAACTGGTCGTACGTACGATGGATATAAATTTTACAGGACAAAATTTATTTGATTATGGTAATATCAAAAATGAATTTTACTGAGTAAAACATTTAAGCATTTGGCTTCTTGCCCACTGTCTCAAGTCGGAGGGAGATATTCCCTCAGTCAACAAGGACGGAATGGAGCGTGCCTTTTCTTTCAGGGGTATTTTTTTTCACGTTATTATGATTTGACACGTAAGGTTTTTATCTTCGCGGGCAATATCATTATTCATAATTGATTTTTGAGTTCAGGCACTTCATGATGTGACCCAATTTCCATCGTTAAGATCTTTCACCATCCGATATAGTTAAAATAGATGCAATCGGCACGTGTTCTCGTGTTTAACTTGCCAATTATGATTGTTTTAGCTCACCTGTAATTTTAAAAACTCTTTCACAAACAAATTTCGCAATTAGGAAATTCCTGGATTATCCATTATGCGGCCAAACCTAATACTCAATAATGAGTCATTGTTATTAAGTGATGGTACCACTTGCACCCACACTTTCCACAGTCCTAAGTACTCATTTCACCCTGCCTATGTCACCCTCGCCATCGTCTCTTCTTGAAAAAACTACCAAAGAATTAGCTGCGTGGGAGAAGCCATTCATAAAACAGTGTTCATATATGACGTATGATTAATTTTAGAGAGCTGTTATATGATGTTTTCATTTTCTGTTGGTACAAAAGAAACGTTTTGAGAACTGGCACACACAGGGCAAATTTTACAGCCTTTGTGTTAAATGTTGTGTTGATACGAGAGGGAAAAAAAACAATGTGAGGTTTTAGAGGGCACAATAAAACGAAGAAAATCTTAAAAGCCACCGCAATAAATTGAGATAATGCAGGCACTTTATCTCCGTACGACAGCACATGCCGGTGCCTGGGTGTTTTGACGGCATTTTCTCAGACACAAACATAAGACAAATCGCATCCGGGCTGAAATTTGGCCTCATGCCACAGGGAGGATTCCTCGTTCGGTCAGCGAAGCGCGTTCACTCATGCGAGCTCACGGCCCATCCCGTGCCAGCAGGGAGTGCTGTCAAACAAAGCGCCGGACTGGTCAGTGCCTCGTTCACCGGGCCTCGTTTCAGTTGTGACGGACAGGTGACTACGGAGGGAGCGGAGGGGGGTGGGGTTATTAACGCGTGCCTGGTGAAATGACGCCAAGGCCGTGTTATCATTCCATGGTCACGTGCCACTAATTTGTGATTTTAAGATGGTTTTAGAAATTTAACAGCAGAACGTCAAAAACAGATGACCGGTATACGGTACATTCAGGAATACTGCATATTTCGGTTTATGCTTATGCAATTTTACTGTTCAGAATATCAATGCGACGCAAACATGTTATACGGAACAAACAACGCTTTTTTTATACTCCAACATTTTCCCAAGTCGGTGTAGTGCCATTGTTGTCCAGAGTATTTTTATTCTAAATTCTATGTTTTATATATACGTATACATTGTCAGTAAATTATCGATTGAATCGTTGGTAGATGAATGAACTTGGTGAACTGATGTACATTTTACGCTCGACATTCACACGCGGGATATATTGCATGAGTGGGAGCGTTGGGCGGGAGGGGGGGTGCGACCGTGTGTGAACAATATCAAGGTGCTATATTTGTAATAATTGAGACGCGTTCGACGCCCGTGCTGTCGAGAGTTGTCACGCGTTAAGTTGTTTTCTTTTTAAAGCCAACGGTATATTGCACAGACTGTTAAGGGTATGAATTCTCGTCTAGCTCATACTTTGTGGTGCACACTCTGCGCCGGTAGAGTTTGGAAGTCCACGCCGGTTCTTCTTAAAGCGAGCGAGCACCGTCGTGAGTGGTGTGAGGTTTCCCATGTGTGCGTCATCGCCCGAGTTATTAAGCCCGATGCTGGGGGGGGGGGGCTGCCAGGGGACAATCGTCCCATCTCTCTTTGTTATTCTCGCAAAATAAATGCAAAGGGAACATTCGACCACCTCCTCCTCCTTCCTCAGTCTTTTTGTAAGTGCCTTTTAAGTCGCAATAAATAAGTCGGAGACTACTACCGCCCGGATCACGCATTCACGCTCGCATAGATCGGACGCTTGATCACGACAATTGCACCGGCATTCGCTGCAAGCAAATGCGCCGCTCAGAAGCCACAGATCTCAGATACAAATGACCCCGCGTGGCCCACTTTGGGGATTTGTTATTCCATGCCCTGACAGAGGCACGCGCGCGTGTTGAATGCAAACACCGCGAAGACCAAAGGCTTTGCTGGTTATACATCGGTTATCACCTGCGGGGGCGGAGGGGGAGAGAACACAAACAACGACACCCAGTGATGTTTAGATGGAAACGCTCTTGTGTTTAAAGAGTGCCTGTTAAAAATAAGACAAGCTGGAGGGCAGCACTCATTAAGTGTAGCAATCTTGCTGACTCGGCGTGTTACAAATACATAGGTTAAAATGGATTCTAAGGCTGGCAATATATTCGTGAAATTGCGCCTGCAATATTCATTCACAATTTAACAAATAATATAGCAATTGTATCATAGGCCAGCCATGATCTATCCACCGCTGGATGAAGGCCTCCCCAAGCTGTTACCATCAATTAGTCATTCAATCCAACAATCTACCTTGCTTGTGCACACGAGTCGATCTCATCGCTCCATCTCCGTGGTGGGCCTTCACTTGACCAGATCAGATGCTGTTATAGTCTAGGCTAATGTTATATTCTAGGCGAGCTGTACAAAATAAACGGCAGAAGTAGAAACGACGCAAATGAAATTGTGTAGTTAAAGCTATCAGTATCTGGGTCTCTGAGTCTATGGGTATGTTCGCGTGAGTCCGTGGGTCTAATTCAGAATCAGAATCTTTATTTAGACTGGGTGAATCCGTTGCTCTGTGAAGGTCTTGCTTACAGACGTCCAGTATTGCTGAATGTAACACGAAAGGCAATGTGTGCCGGGCTGCCACCAGAAACTGCACGAGCTGCTGGAGCCCGTCTGTTGAAGGTGCCGATGCAGTCACTACCAGCACACTCCACCCTCTCAGCCATTCCACCGGCACGCGTGATCTAACACATTGTCCTGCGGAGGGAGCTGGTAGGAACGTTGGGTTGCTCGGTCAATGGCCAGGATCAACGGCGGCGTGGTGTATTCCGCAAATATGCCCGACTGTGAGGGCGGGCACAAGTGAGTAAGTTAAACGTTGAGTTTTATAAGGGCACCACGGGATGACCAGCCCCTCCCCACCCAGCCCCACCCCTCCCACCCCCCACCCAACCCCACCCTCCCCACCCAGCCCCACCCTCCCCACCCAGCCCCTCCCCACCCTCCCCTCTCCACCCAGCTCCACCCCTCCCATTTTTGGATGCACGACGGACGGACGGACACAATAATCCCCTGTGGGCTGGTGGAAGCAGGAGTTTCCTACCAAGTAGTATAACCCGAGGCTGTAAAACCAGAGGCGGACCCCGTTGCCTCCTCCACTCGGAGCCACGAATCGCAGCGAAGTCACTGTGAACCCACGTGGCTGGTCTTGATGCATCAGTGTGAGTTGGTGCGTTTGAACACGGAATTGTCAATTTTCTTGTGTTTGAACATACACTGGTTTCAAAATTGTGTTCATTGTGAAAAAAATCACTTAAGGAACGAAAATGTTCGTACTTTTTGGTGCTATGGTCATCTAAAATAAGTAAAATCTCTTGCATGTAAATGAAAAAGACTGGATTTTTGTATTTAAAAAATGCGCTACGTTTAGAAAGCAATTCAAGTAAACTGAATACAAAAATGTAACTGTTTCAGTAGCGTGTTTAAAGCAAGTGATTTCTCTAAAGCCATTTAATAAATAACAATTATTATTCATTTAGCTGCTGGCCTTTTGAATTAAGGTCTTGATGGCTTCTCACTTTTGATTATCCGACAACACGAACATACAGAATTATCAGCAACCAAGTGCTAGTGACAGAAGTACTGTATATGCTTGACTTAAAGCTATCACATAGTCATTTATATTCAAGGCCAATTTTAATGAAATATTCATACTGACCATACACTTTCTATAGGGCTCCGTCACATATTCATGTAAGTACTGTATAAGGCAGAGTGTTAGAGGATAGGGCAACCATGAAAACAGTTATGTAGTTAAATACAGAGCTACATCACATTTATTTTATTCCTGAACATGAGCATAATTAACACTGACCAAAGTCAGCTTAGGGGCCGTCCATAAATGACGTCACGCATCTAGGGGGGGGGGGGGGGTCAGACATTTGTGACGATGTGTGACGAGGGGGGGAGGGTGAGAAATGTGACGTCACATCAAAATGCGCAACTTTAAATAAATATAGACAACACGTTCTACTTAATTAAATATACTTTTTTATAAATGTTTTATCCTACAACATCAGAGTGCAGCGCCACATGAAATACGCACTACAATGACAATAGTTTAAAGCGATTTGAAGCATGTTTTATTTGGGGGGGGAGCAGAGTTTTGTGACGTCATATTTGAGGGGGGGGCGGTCTGACTTTTTGTGACGCCGTGTGACGAGAGGGGGGGGGGGTCAAAAAATCGTCCAAAATCGCGTGACGTCATTTATGGACGGCCCCTTAACGCTGACCATTTTGCTTGTTACTAACGAGTAAATGGGCCATGCAGTTGCGGAGACAAATCTCTCTCGGATTTTGTGAAACCTAATCGCCACCGACTGCTTTGCCCACACCTGAACGAGTAGTTTCGCAACGAGTAAATCGGGCAGCTATGATTCACGATTACAACAGCCAATCACAGTTTGCAAATGTGCAGCACGTGGTGAAATATACTTTACTCACACATCGCTTGAGCAGATCTCGTGAAAGTAGAGTCTCTGCTGTAAGAACCCGGTTGGCCAATTGCTTGCAACTGGTCGCAAAGACTTCTACGTAAAAGCGATGCAATTGCATGCAACCAAGACTGCGCCTTTAATCGGTCGGTCAGGTGTGCACCCGGCTTGGGCAGGCAGTGCGGGAGCTCGCTCAGCTATAAGCGGTCTGTGCAATGCCGGTCTGTTGTGGGTCCTGCTGCTTATTTTCATAGTAACCACAGAGGCTTGAGGCGATGCTGCAATTAAAAGAGTTCCAAATGTGTTGGAGTAATTTGTTGCTTGCTATATATACAAGTTACTCGTGCTTGAAAGCGGAACGATGTGATATCAAAAGATAGCGAAAAGTGTAAATGCACCACCAAAGTGACGTCATTCATTTACAGGCTGGTTCCCGAAGCTTCTCGACTCACTCCGCCTTTTACCTTTACCCCAGATATGTCCCCTTTTAATAAGGCATTATGTAATGCAGTCATAACCGTAATTACCTCTCCAGGCCGGCAGGTGTCACCATGTCATTACATTTCTTAACACGATGGGACATGGTGGTTGATGTTCTTTTACTTTTAGACGCCTTGTTGGGCCATTTATATATTTTATTCCGAAAGAGCATGGGGGCACTCGGCGTTCCTCGCTTACCGGCCACTGCGTCCCATGAAGACCCTTTAACAGTCTGTTTGGTCAAATGTAAATTTGCGTGGCGGGTATGTGGAGCCATTGGCATGTTACGGAGTTGACGTTGGGTTTTTTTGTTTGTCAGTGGTCAGTGGGATTTTTCCCCAGATGGCAGTAGTGGCAAGCCTGCATACGTGCTGGGGGTTTGTAGGCTTCATTGTTCACTTATCAGCTTTTGTGTAATGTGTTTTGTTGGTGTTTTTGAACCACGTCCCCCTGTAGGCACGATGCGCACTTGATTAAAAACATACATTTTGAGCACATTGTTGGTATGCTACTTTGCATAATTAAGTTAAATTTTCCTTCAACAGCACTCAACCGTGCTCTCGTCCACCTCTTTGTCTCATCAATTTGATTACGGATCCACTTTCAGCAGTTGTCACGGGTTCACACACACATTTTGACGTGTTTTCCAGTTGTTTCCCTCTGACAGTTATCTCCAATTGTTGACTGAAACTATGTTTCGCTAATTTATCCCGAGACAAACTTCGCAGCCATATTGATTAATTTCTCCTAACAAGTCATGCAGTTAATTTTACACTGGATGTTATAATAACTAACGGCCATGTCATCCGCAAAATCTACGATAATTAAAATTGCTTTCTTCATTAATTTTTATTCCTTTGGTCCTCAAATTCCAATTTTCAGAAAATATTTTCCAATGTCGCTGTGAATAATTTTGGCGAACCCGTCTCATCTAGTACAAGGGGTCACCTTCAAAATGGGGTTTAAATATCGGCAACACAACCACTTAAATTGGTAGCGTTGGCAAAGTACCGTATGATACATGTGTACTGACGTGGAATGAGTCACTGGAGCGCGTGCCGCTGGGAGATTGGTAGACAATAGAATGAGGGGTAGCAGCCCGTTCTGACCTGTTGCACCAGTGGGCAAGGCATGGAGCCACCTGGGGGATCCAGAGGGGGCGGGGCCGAGGGCGGAGCCTGGCCACGCTGGGCAGGATAAAAGGCGAGCTCCAACTCACAGTCGGGGTTGTTGCGATCTGGAGTGGAACTCGTCTGCTGTCGTCGTTGTGATCTTCACCCGCTTCAAGCTGTGGGGCTGGCAGCATGTTGGCTGTCCCGACCTGGTGTGTGGTTATACACTCAGGCTGTGAAGGGTGGAATAAAAGAGTACCTCCTACTAGTGCCTGTGAATTAGTACACTACACATGCACTATAGTCCGAGTGTAGATGGGAAGATACATTGCTCATAGCCCATAAGCTCGGTCAGATAATTATTCACTTGTCTGTCGGTACCACCTGGTGAGGCATAACTTTTGCGGTTTACAAGTTCTTTATGTGGCCATTAATAAGTATTACAGCTTATATTGCAGCACTGTTCACACAAACTCAAGGCGCTGTAACACCAATGACATACGAGGGGTGGGGTGAGTTTGGGTAAGAAGTGAAGTGTGAGATAACCATTTGAAATAAGTGGGTTCATCAAGTA